AGCTTACCGAGCAGCCAGCAGGAATGTTACTGAGAAAGGAGAGGCTTTGTGGAGGAGAGGAAAGAGACGGGAGGGGAGGAAAAGGAGGAGATGAAGAGGAGGAAAAGGCTTGGCCAGAGGAAACTCCGGCACTCCCACTATCTGGAACAGGACAGACCAAGGCTGGTCTGAAACAGAGCTAAATGGGAAAACGGATACAGCTTATGAAAAGAAAACATATCTGTATCTGTACGGTAGAATTTATTGTAATATTACAAAACTGAAGGAGGCCAACTTTTGAAAATTACAGGATGGATTTACTGATATCACTAAAATAGACTAATCTTCCGGTCCTTATAAGAGCAACAGGTGAGTACTAACCCTGTGGAGTTGTACAACAGTGTTGTTTAACTTTTTAATGCATTTCTGTGGCATTTCTGTATTATTAAATAGATTATATTTTATTTTGATGAGAAAAAGGGAGAGCAAAATAGTACACAACATACAATAGATAAAACATCATGGTTTTAGTACCATTGCAAAAGATTCTGGTCATGTTTTCTAAATACTTTACCTGATGTGTTTTGCAACCAATTCAACATCCAGACTATATTTTGGTTGTATTGGATTATGTATTAATGTCAAAGTTGAAATCCTGGTGCTGTGTTTGTTCAAATGTTGCAACATAATGTTGAATTGCGCACTTGGGCCTCAAGATACCACTGATTCCTCTGTTTATTCCAGCTGTTAGCCCCCTCCGTCAGTCCACCTGCCTATCTGCTGACACAGCCATCCAGAAACCCACTATGCGTCGAATTATCCGCTTATTTCATTAATCAGTGACATACCATCGCTGTTATTCAGCATCTCCACTCTGTCTTGAGGGGATGAATAGGTATGGGATAGCACTGTTTGGCCTGGGTTCACGATCCAGGCTGTTTAGACATGAGAACACCAGGCTAAAGCAGCAGTGGGCTCCAGTTACTATACAGGATCATATTTAGCCAGGAAACAGAAACAGAAAGCTGACTGCACTGGGTTACACAGGAGCTTAGTGTGTTTGTGGACATATATCATCAGGCTTTCATTTTTGTTTTCGCCATGTGCTCTGACCAGAGTGTGGACTCTAACAGAAGGCTATGACGTGATATTAAAGGCACGCTATCGTTCATGCATGTGTGTGTGAGACAGAGAAACTGAAAGATGGAGCCCGTCAGACATAAAGATAGTTCATTTCCAGTCAGGAAGTATTAGGGTGTACTCTCCTTCTGGTAAATGTGTCCCAGTTTACAAATCCCCTAGCGTCTCAGGCATGCAGCCGAGTGTGTTTGTTTAAAGTGTGTATGTTTATGCGTGTGTGAGTGTGTGTTTGTGTGTGTGTTTGTGATTTTTGTGCATCACAGTCAGAGTGTAAGCATTTCCAGATGTGATGGGAATGGAGAAAGGCGGCGAATGAGACAGCAGTTACACAGAACATAAGACTGTGATACTTATCTGTTTAGACTGACTCATTTTTTTTATTACTGTAGTTCTGATGACTTTCCATTGAATTTATTGATACCCACCCCTTAAAATATTAACCTCAACCCTCCCTCTTACATACCTAACCTTCACTTGTGCAAGGATGATTTTCCCTTTTTCTCCTAAAGTTATGGATCTGAAAAAGAAATCTAAAACTGGTACAATGCATAACAAGACACCATTTACTCACTCCAAGAATAATCCTGACTCAGATCAAATCAACTCAAATATTTGTGTTACAATTAATGTAAGAAACCTAATCCTACCCCTAATCTTATCTTTAAATCCAAATCTCAACCATAAAATGATTTAATCGTCACTGTAATCTTAACCTTACACCCAAAACCTAACCTAATATTTACTTTGTCAACCAAACTGTAGCCAACTTTAAACAAATTCTAAACTTTACACCAAAGTCCTAACCCTAGCATAGCTCTGTGCATTAGCCAGGACTGGTAAATTTGATTTTCCTCAAACGTTCTTCCTTTTTTGGAAAAAACTCAAAACACACACTCACAGCTCGCACATCAAGGTGGTGAGGGTGTGGGCTGTTACGACTAGTAACACTATATTTCACTATTCATCTAAATGTTACGTAGACATTTATATATATTTACATGCTAATAGAGACTTTTCAGGCATTCAAACACATTATGGGCTGTTTGCCTTTTCCCTAGTTACATGATTCTTTCCACACTCCCACACACTAACAAAGGCACTCACACACACACACACACACACACGTTGCTCCTTTAGCTGGGCAAGCAGGGTGCACAGTGTCCCTCATCACAAGTATTAAAGTCCGAGCCTTGAGGACAGCGAGTTATGCGTGGAATGCCAGTTCACCTCAATGAGAGACAGAAACACACACGTGAATACACACCTGCTATACAAATACACACACTTGAAAGAACACAGTTACACTTCCATGCACCACTGCACAGCTACAATCATATACACACTCCATGTGTGTGCGCGTGTATGTGTGTGCAGGAGAATGGCATTGCATATGAGACATTCCTGTACTGTAGTACTGTTTTCCTGAGGCAGAAACAGGATATCCTCCCCCTCTGTTACTGTCCTGCCTGTTGGACACACACACTCCTATACTCACACATTCCTGCACATGCACACACACATACAGTATAAACACAACAGATCAAATTTAACAAAGACAGAAGACCTCGTGTGTAAGTAGAAGTGACGTCTGGTCCTCACATGGTCACTAATATCATTAACTGGGTGAAAAATCATTTGACTTGATGACGGGCAGAGTGAGGGAGAGTGAGAAGAAAACAAAGAAACTGGAGATGAAAGAAGCAGGAGAAAAGAGTCCAGCAGTTACTGTGATATTGCTCCATGTCACTCAGAGTTTGGTTAAACAGAGAAGTACTTTGGTAGCCTGTGTAGCAGTGGCTAACAGTATGATTATGACTCCAAATGAGAAACGCTGTGGTCCTGCACAGCCTCACAGACTAGTCTTGTTAATTGCTATGTCTGTATCGAGGGCCTCTGTCTCTCTGTAGCCATGGTGAAACACGCTGTTTTTTGTTGTTTAACCCAAACAAATTTCAAATACAGAAACTGTAACTAAGACAAAAAAGCAAAATAGGATGAATGTTTTACATAACTGTAACTATATAACTTCAGTAGACTTGAACTGGACATTAATGATGTATTCCTGTAGGAGAATGTGTATAGACTAACAGTAAAAAGTGAGGAATTTGCATGTGACTGACCCAGATGGGTCACCAAAATGCCCTCACAGAATATCTTTTTTTCTCAGTAGAAAAAGGAGGGGAAAATAGGAGGGGGGGGGGGGGGGGGGGGGTGAGACAAGCGGAGGCTTTTTGAGGAGAGGCAGGGTGTTATAATCCACCATGTGATTTCACTGACCACTCTTCCTTCACTTGAACAATCCCATAGAGGAGAGAGGAAGCAAGAGAGGAAGGAATAGATGCAAAAAAAAAAAGGGAGTGGGGATTCAGCAGAAGAAGGGAACTGAAATCTGAAATCAAGCCTTTGTGCAGAAACCTCTTGTCTAGATACCTGACATCAGTAGAAATGTCCATGAATATCACTCAAAAGCAGTCTGGTAGTGTGTCTGAAGCTTGAAGTGTAAGAGGGGGTGAAAAGCCAAGACATCCTCCTTGTGGCTGTGTGTGTTTTAGCTGAACAGTGACCTTATTCACCGAAGTGATCCTCATTAAATCCCCGCACACACACCCACATGTTACAAAGACTGTGGTCAATAGCTCCTCGTGGATGTAAACACATCCTTAGCGTTGAGGTGTAATGAGTACAAGGCAATAAAACAGGAAGCCAGTGGAGTGTTTGTTAGTGGCTCATGCAGAAACAGAAAGGTCAATAAAGTGAGGAGTGTGTGCACATGTGGCCTCCCATGAACGGTGGGTCTGGAATGTGTCAGATAAATGGTTCACAAAGATAGAAGGTCACAGGTTTGATCCCTGCATAGCAATGTGTTTAACAGTGTGTCCTTCAACATGACACCCATCCCCTGTCTATTTCTTGCTTGGATAAATCACATTGTCAATTAAAATGTGACTGCAGTTGATTAATGTAACATCACCATATTGCATTAACTGGTTAATCATAAGGGTGTAACATACTTTCAGTAATGAGTAACTGTTATTCGTCAATATTATAAGTTCATCATCAGCTAAAGTTACCTGGGTTTGTTCATAATATCTGCAGTGTACTGCCATAAGTTGACTGATGTCATTTCAGTTGATTTCCATTTAGAGGGAAATTTTAGTACATTCTAACAAATTTGTCTGGCAGTCACACAATGACTCGACAGGCTCTGTCACTAGCTCACGACTGATGATGTGGCCTTGAGCCAAGCACTTAATCAAGAAACACATCAATGAGCTGCTCAGTGTAAAGCAAATGTGAAGCTCTTAAAACTTAAATATCTTTACAGCTGCAGAATCTGAAGTATCTTGACTGATATTTGTGCAGAATATGTATAATATTAAGGACCATCGGACTCAGGTCCTTAATCAGGAGAAGATTAAAATAAAGAAACTCCTCCTGTCTCCAATTTCTTCTTGTAATGTATTTCACAATTTTTTATTATTTGTCTCCAATGTCAAGTATTCAGCAAACTGATTCATTCACATAAGAGTGAAGGTCTTTAAACAAAGATGCAGTTGTTTTAATACTGTAGAAGATTGTTATGTTTGTGGCCTGTCATAAAGCTGCAGCATGTGAGTTGGTGCCCCCTAGTGGTGGGAATCAGTCAGAACACACTCCTGCTGCAGAGGTTCAACACTGTATTACTGCAATGCAGACAGACAGATATATGTGTGGGATGCGTGTGTGTGTTTAGAGAGATTATAAGATTCTGATCTGTCTGTGCTAAAACTGCTCGTAAATTCCTAATTTGAGAAAAAGTTGTTATTCAATTGATCACGAGTGTGCATCTTCTCCCAACAGTACCTCTGAACCATATGTCTTTTGTTTATTTGTTGGCACAGAAATCGTGGCGGGCAGCCGAGGATGCCAGTGACACAATACCAAGAGAGCGAGCCCTGAAGAGCGTCAGTTTCCAGGAATCGGTCAGCGTTATCACTGACAGGCCCGCAACCATGGAACTAGAGAGCCAGCAGATCCAACATGGCTGCCTCAGCAGCCCCAGTAACCGAGGCCACAGCGCAGCTGGTGTGAAAGTAGAGACTCCTGACAGCGAGGTGGTTCAGGTATGCAGGCTCTCAGAACAAGATTTACAGTTTCTTGTTTTATTTTGATGGAATGGAACAAATATCATCACAGAAAACTTGGACCTGTTTTGGACTGTCACAGTCTCAGAGAATGTTTTTTTTTGTCTGTGTTTCTTTTCTTTTCAGTAATCTGAGCAATATTAGCCTAAACAGAGAGGGATTTCCTTCCTACAGCAAACTAAGTTAATTAGGCAACCATTTTACCCCTTTCTAGAATAGGAGGAGAATTGAATGAAATTTATTGTACAATATATGTCCACAACAGCAGCCTGATTATCTGCTGTGTCTACAGGAGATCTGTTACCTGGACCAAGTGTTAGACGCAGCCTCTGAAACACCCACCAATGGAAACTCGTCTCCATCACACCACACCAAACCAATCAGCATTGATGGAACCTCTCCGTCTGTCTGTGTGTCAACCTCCTCTCCTGCCAATCACCAGCCAATCGTTGTGGAGGGGCAGAGACAAACGACGTTCGTCCACCAGGAGGACTCTGGCGTGAGAACCAACGGGCATGTGCAGGGGGAGGAGTCGGGGCGCAGCAGGGCGAAGTTTGAGCTGAGAGCTTTTCAGGAGGAGAGACGGCCAGCAAAACTCTTCACCCCCGGAGAGGAGCAGCAGGTCAGGGTGACGAGGAGACGACCCTCAGAAGAGGTAAACAGCTGCGAGATAATGTGTCAGACGCAACAGATACAGTATTCACACACATGCTAACATAAACAACACAAAAGTACAGTGTTATTAAGCTTAGTTGTGGTCACATTTTCATCATAGATAAGGAAACAGTAACCACTAGAAACTGTTTTAAAATCAACAAACCTAATTTGAAGAAATAAGTCACTTAGAAAACTAGATAATTTTCAGTCAAGTGACACAGTTATTGGAGTGTAGTTACAGACACTGAAACATGAAACACTAAACATGCATCGATTAAATTAAATTAATATGTAATGAAAAGCTAATCGTGATGGCAGTTTATTGGAGATACTCTTTGTGAATATTCTTACTCATATATTTTTCTGCTGCTCTATTTCCTCTGTCAGGTTCAGGAGTTGGAGCGTGAGCGCCAGGAGCTGATCAGAGATCAGGCTGTGAAGAAAAACCCTGGGATCGCCCAGCGCTGGTGGAACCCTCCTCAGGAGGTAGTTTCCCATTGAACCTCTGTTTTGAATTTGAACTCCATTGCTTCCTGACAACTGATTGACTGGTTCTCTGGTTGGTTCATTGATTCTTTGAAGGTGCCTTTGGAAGCGCAGCTGGACGCAGATCAGCTCGAGTCTCTCAAGAAATACCAGGAGAGAAAACAGCAGAAACAGAATCACACTTATACATACACACAGGTAACACACACACACTTTGACCATGAGGAGATACACCAAAGTTTGTTGTAACATTTCTGCCTGATTTGTCAGTACACACCTCTCATCTCCTAACTTTTTCCTTTGTATTCTGCTTTCCCATCTCTGTTTGCAGCCCCAGGTGTTAGGTCCTCCCACAATGGTGACCTCTGACCCAGAGCTAACCAGGAAGGAGGACATTGTCGAGAAGCAGATCGACTTCTCGTCTGCCAGGAAGCAATTTCTGCAAGGGGAGGGCACCAAGAAGGACATAGCTCCTCAGATATACTCCGCCAAACCCTTCTCGAAATCTATAACCAGGGGCAGCCAGGGGAGCAGTGACATTGTTGCCGAAACCGGAGAGAGCCACGTGACCTGGTCTGATGAAGGAATTGCAGGAGAATTCACGTGTGCGCGAGCTGTAATGACAATCCTGCGTGAGGAGGAGGAAGGGAAGGGTCATTTCCACCCAGCCTTTCACCCAGAGGAGTCTGACTCAGGATTGGACGAGTTATCTGTCCGCTCTCAGGACACTACTGTGTTTAGCTTGGATAATGTTTCCGACAGCGGGGCTTCGCTACCCCCTACCCCATTGCCACTTACCCCTGTGTCACCTCCTACCCCTCAGCCCACCACGCCAGTCAACGGGCAGACCAGTGGCGGTCCAACAGAACACGAGCTGGAGTTCCACGCCGGGGTACTTGTGCAAAATGCCATCCAACATGCCCTTGCAGCTGACAACGGAGAGGAGTGGCAGCCATCTGACCTGAACTCTTCACAGCTCAGCACCCCTGTGTCTCCATCCTCAGCTTCTACAAGTAGCCCAGTGCCAGTCTCCCCTGTGTCTTCCGGTGGAGCTCCGAGTCTCCAATCACCTGTGTCCTCCAGTCCTGCTCTATCCAACCCGTCCCCTCAGCCAGACAGGCGGCCAGAGGTAAGAGTTGTTTTCCAAGAGAAGCCCGCAGAATCACAGCAGACTCAGCAGCAGCAGCAGCAACAACAGCAGCCCTCCAGTCCAGCACAGCAACCACAGCTCCAGACACCTTCTCCACCACCTTCTCAGCCTGTCTCACCTCCACAGAGACCCAAAGATGGAGGCCCCAGGATCAAAATCCAGTCCTCTTACGCCAGAGCGCTCGCTTCCTCAGCCCCGGCTCCAGCTCCAGCTCCAACTCCAGCTTCAGCTGCTGCCTCAGCAGCTCCTGTTTCCAGGCCAACCCCAGTTTACCGTCCCCCTTCTCCTCCAAGCCCGGAGAAACAGGAGTTCAGCTACTTCAGTAAATACTCAGAGGCAGCTGAACTTCGTAGCACAGCAGCAGCAACACGAAGTCCCGAGGCAGAGGCAGCCAGCGGCCCATTCCGCCTGCGCTCCAAGAAGCAGCGAACCTTGTCCATGATTGAGGAGGAGATCCGAGCAGCTCAGCAGAGGGAGGAGGAGCTGAAGAAACAGAGGGAGGCGCAGCCTGTTGTTATTGTCCGCCCCAGCCACACTTCCAGCAGCAGTCATGGGCCTGTGAGGACAGGGATGCGGCAATCCACCATTTCCGCAGCAGATAAGATGAAGAGTAACAGCCTGCCAACTAGACTCACACTGTCAGCGAAGACAGCACCAGGTTAGCGTGTTTCTCATTGATCCTTGTATGAGACACCTGGTACAAGATTGTTGTTAATATCTCAAGAACTTTAGGATGGACTGCCATGAAATTTGGTTCAGACATTAATGTTTCCCTCAAGATGAAATGTAATAACTTTGTTGATTCCCTGACTTTTTCATCTGGCGCCATCACTACATCAAAGTTTTCATTGTCAAATACACCAAAATACCTACAAAACAAATGGCAGTCATTAATATTATTAGTTGCATCTATGTTTGAAAAATGAAATGTGTACCAGTTATACAAAGATGAGCTCCAGTAAGCCACCCATGCTTGGTGTGATCATGCCAGCTCAACAAACGTGTCTAACTCTGTGTTTTTTTTTTTTGTGATTTGCAGGAAAGATTGAGAAGATTCGACCTGCACCACCCGTCTCACCCTCACCCTCAGAGGGAGCCCTGTCTGATGCCGGCAGTGAGGACTCAGGAGGATCACGACCCAAAAACTTCATGCAGACGCTTATGGAAGACTATGAAACACACAAGGTGAAAAGGAGGGAGAAAATGGAGGACAACAGTGTAAGTATTAAACCCTGGAGAGGATAAATTGGCAGAGATGTGAATGAGAGAATGGAAGGATTGTTTTCCATGTTGTATAACAAAAAGTAATTCGAAACTGTCAACAACATAACACAGGAAATAAAAAAAAATATTGGTTGGGGCACAGGTAGTCCTAAAAATGAAAAAATGATATTGCTACCCCCAAAAAAATATAAATAAATACAATGACATTTGTTGAGTTCTCGTTGAACATCTGACTGCAGAAGACACGAAACAAAGAGTAAAAGTAGCACAAAGGTGACCACAGCTTACCAGACAATACTGGACTCTGTTGAGGTTCATTTGGTTTGGTCACATCACTGTGGTTGAATGCCTCCATCCATGATTCGTTGGCATGAGCAAATACTGTACAACACTAAAGGGACTTTCCCAGTCTGGAGCAGGACATGGAATAGAAAGTAAGTCACAGACGCTGGGGGATTTCTGTCCTTACTCAATTTTTTTTTTTCTTTTTTTTTTTTTCCTTTTTTTTTTTTTTTAATCTGAATAGATCTTTTAATGCTCAGTATTAAGAAAGAGGTCTCTCTTGAGAGGAAATATTGTATTTTGGCAAAATAAACAGTCAAAATAAAAGGTCTACAAAAGATAAAAATAATTTTTCACAAAAGGTAATTGTCATGAACTTAGCTCAGGATTGTAAGGACCCAAATGCACGACTCGGCTCGGTTGAATCAACAAAACAAGGTTTTATTGCAAGCAATGGTCAGTACACAGAAAGGCAGTCAAACCAGGCAAAGGTATCCAAAACGTGAGGCAAAAGGCAAGGTCGAAAAACAAGCAAGGTTCAAAACACAAGAAAGCTATGACTGTGACTGTGACTATGACGCTGGAACGTAATCTGTGAGAATCGACGAACTGGCGACAAGACAAGACACAAAGGGGAATAAATGCGGGATTGATTGGGAGTGATTAGACACAGGTGCGGGAGACACAATCAGGGATCAGGTGCACACAGATGAGGAGGGGGCAGGGCAGAGACACGGGTGAGTGCTCACAAAATAAAACAGGAAGACCAGACATGAAACATGAGGGAGAAAATAAAATTAACCGAAAGCATGACAGTAATTGAAAAAATGTTACATTTTACATAATCAGAAAATGATCAGAGCTTCATGTCTCCCATGTTTAACCTATTCATTGAGAAATCATATAATGCAAAAAACACAAAACAAACATATTATTCATGTTATTGCCTTCATTTGTTTTCAAGATATTTAACTGAATGTATCTTGAACTGATCATTTTGCAGCAGGCAGTGTTCTCGCTGATGTTGTTGCCAATGTTGTTATTGTTTATCCATGATGACATCACATGTGTTGACTTTGTGTACTGTTGCCTCTCTCCTGCCGGTCGGTCAGTATGCCCGTTTGTTGCTGGCCAACGAGGTAACCACTGAGGTACCTGTCACACCCCAAACCTGTTCACTCCGTTAAACTGCCATTACTGACAGACCTGGGTCAGACTCACCTGAAATCTCTTATTGTAAACAAATACATACCTGTGTATATTTTAGACTGTTTCCAGTCTGTACAGTTTAAGAAGTACTTACATGCCATGATAGTTTTTTTTAGAAACATTAGAAATTTTTTTTTAATACTGAATAAACTGTTTATTCAGGGTGATCTGAATAGGATGTTAAAGCAAAGCCCTTTTTCATGAGGTTTACTTCAGTTCAACTAAGAGAGAAGAGAAAGTTCCCAAAGACATTCGAGTCACAGATGAGTGGAGATTTTCACTTTCTTGTTTTCCATTAACTGTGCACTGCATTGTAGATGAGTCAACAGTAAAACACACAAACTGTGACATGTCACTCAGTCTTCCAGACATGAAACTGGTGCAGAAATTATACATGGGAATGTATTACTTTGTTTGAACCCATAGACTAGGCAGTTTCTGAGAAAGAAACCTAAAAAGTTTTTGATCTGGTCCCAGGTCTGCTTGTGGTCTCACTGCTTTATTGTTCTGCTCTGTGGTGTTGGTGCTGCATGTGCTTGTCCATTGATTTGATGTGACCTTTGATTCCCCCCCCATGCACATTTATGTTCTATATATCTAATATATAAAGTACCAATTAAAACAACTTAATTCCAAATAAAATATGTGCACTACTTTAAAAGATTGTAAACTAGCGAATTATATTATATGAATCATGATGGGCTTCAATATAAAGGTAACAGAAGATTTTGAATGTACTGATTTGGTGGATGTGTGTGTTGTGATTGTCAACATAAGGTCAATTTACATCAGTGTTTCCATTTACAACTACATAACTGGGCTTAGTTTTATGAAAATTATTTAGCGTCTATCATTTTCTATCATCATCATCACTGCAGCCATTATGTCAGACCTCAACAGCACACATCTACCCACAATCCACTTCAACTTCAACCTGTTCTTTACATTACCCTGTGTGAAGATGGGTTTATGTGTTTGTATGTGTGTGTGTGTGTGTGTGTGTGTGTGTGTGTGTGTGTGTGTGTGTGTGTGTGTGTGTGTGTGTTAGGCATGTGTGTGTGAGATGGAGAGTGATCGGAAACATAAATTATGGAACAGTTGTGGTGTGTGAGCATGAATCTTTCCCTGTAATGGAGTAAAATGACCTTTGTTTTTACTGTCAAATGGTGCAGGTGCGCTTCATTTGCTCAAATGTAGCTCAAGGTCGTTTGTCATGAAACCTTTACTGCAGGATGGTTTAACCAAGCGCTCCCTCAGCGTTTGACATACACTGCATGTCATATTAAAGTCACTGTGATGTGTGTTTTTTTGTGATTGTGTTCCCTTGAGCTGGGAAAAAGCATGGGTTTTATCAACTGTTTGCTCACGCCACAATGAATGTGCTTCCATCTGATTGGTTGTTTTGTATTTGTCAGGTTCTGGAGGCCACTCGTGTCACCAGGAGGAAAAGCGACATGGCGCTGAAGTGGGAAGCCGGCATCTACGCAAATGAAGAAGGGGAGGAAGAAGAGGAGGAGGAAGAGGAGGAAGAAGAAGAGGAGGAGGAGTAAACAGCTCATTTCAGAGACAGTTAAGGGACTGAGGAGAAAGAGGAGGAGGAAGAGACTGAAGGAAAAACAAACAGGAGGAGAAAGGACAAAGAAAGGAAACAGTATTTATTTTACTAATAGTATTCTGATAATCACATGACCCTGCATCAAGTTGTGATTTTTGGACCTGAGGATTGAGGACGGAACAGTATGTTAAAAGACTGAGTATGTGAGAGACATTTGAAGTGTTGCGTGAGTTTGAAGAAAAGAAAAAAGGTCAGCGATGCAAGAGACACTTTGAAAGGGTTTTATGGTGGATTATGAGCGTTCTGCAGAAGTTTGTTTGGAATAGAAGGTTTTTACTAGTTGGTAGACGCTGAATGACTTAAATATTCATAGGATTTTTCACTTATCTGCAATATTATTGTGGAAATATGGGCTGAGATCTAAAGATTTTATTTTAAAAGGTTGCCTGAGACTTGATGATGATGATTTTGGCAATATGTGCTTGAGAATAACCCCAGTCATCTTCAAAATGTGTGGCAAGGGTTTGATTACAAACAGGAAAAAAAGATGCTTAAGACAAGCAGGTGTATGCAGAGTGACTATTGAGAAACTTCTGACTGAAAGTTGTGCTAGAAAGGAGAAAGATCGAGGCCTAATCACGCACTCAGACATGTTTTCTATAATTTCAGAGTAATCTTTACTGCAGGGAGGCTGTGATGTTTTTCAGGGTTTTAACCTAATGGGACTCGAAGCATCACTTTCAGAACCCGTGAAGTTTTATCTTCCGCATCCTGCAGTGCCACAGTACACCACAGTACAGCTATAACAGACAGACAACATGTTGGCTGGAGCTTTAGCATCCCTTTCAAGCATCTGTGTTAAATCTTAAGTGCCGACCTGAGGGTCAGCGTCCTTGAATCATTAAATGCTAGAGAGGAAATCTGCATAACTAGCATCAAGGTGCAACTCTGCCTTAGACCTGTCAGTAATTGTTGAATGCACGATATGTATGATGTATCTTATCTTCTTCTATCCTGTATTACTACAGTTCCAGTAGACTTTAGAGAAAATAAGCAACCACATTAGATAGTCTGTCTACAAAACACTATTCTTCAGTGACTTCACAGATGGGAGGAGACAGAGGGGGGGAGAGGGAGGCTAACTGCAGGTCATGTTTGTGTCACTTCAGTCAGTGTGTGTGTATTAATGAAAGGGCTGGGTCAGGGGTTTTATATTCTAAAAATCATTTATTTTACCTTTGCTGGCTACGCCGCTTTGTTGACCTGTGCTTTCTGATGTAAGCAGTTGTTTCATGTATTATACTGAGGTAGGACTGTGTATTTGATATATGAACATGTATGTTGAGATTCCATTGGGGCAACTGCCGTCTATCTACTATACCTTGCTAGTTGAGGATAAAGTTTGATGAAAAATATTGAAAAAGCCTTTTATAAAAAGTTGTTATACCAAAACAGAATGTTGTTACTTAGAGAAAATACAGTCAGCCTAAGCTCTTAGGTCTGTTTAAAAAGTACTGATTGTGTGCATGGCATTACACTCCTTTTCCTAACCTGAAAACAAGCACACAACAAGCAGCAAAAAGAAGGCAACTGACTATCAGTGCTACAAGCTGAACAGACTTCTGTTCATCTTTACGTCACTAACATACTGTAAGTTGGGGTTGTCTGTTTTTTTACTGAATATATTGTGAGCTTTGATTTTGCAAGATGATGTGATTTTCTGTTTCGTTAAATTACAGGCGTTTACAGGCCTCTGTGATTTTGACAATACTGTTGACCGTCCAGGTGTAGAAAACAAGGTTCAGCTTCAACATGAAAACACCAAACACGTTGCAAACACAGTCAGAATAATCCCTTGCGCCTACAGGACTGTCTTGAAATTAGAACTGAAAGTAGAAATGTGTCAGCATGACTGTAGATACAGTATTCCTGAACCACTTTAACTGAAAAGTAGCTAAATTATTATACCTTTTAGTCTTTATTTTGAAGCCTTTGAGATTTTATCCAGCATTAGGATATCAGGAGGTTGTTTTCTGTAAACCAAAGGTTACAGTTTTGATCACCAGTGTGTCCTGTTCAAGTGTCCTTCAGCTCACACACTGAATAAAATCCTCAGATAAATGCCTGAAACACAAATGTACACTGAGGTAGACTTGCACAAAAGATGAAAAGAAACTGCGGGACACATACTAACCCTTGACGATAATTAATCTGTATTGTATTTGTTAGGACAGCCCCAGCATGAGGTCAAATACCTCTTGGCTGGAAATGCAGTGCCAGCAACTGCACCAACCAGAAGTTAAAACCAAGGACTTCTGCCTCTGTGATGTGCCCATTTCCCCGCGGAAACAGAAAAAAACTCAATGACTCAATAGAATCCTCCTTGTTCTTGTTTTTATACACTTTTAATAATATATAAAATGAAAAAAAGTATTTAAAGGACTAGTGTCCCTTTTTATGAGCTTGAGAAATGTAAACGTGTCATTGACAGAGGTACTGTGTCACTGATACTGATTGGAGATTCATTTTGCCACAAGACTTAAGGGACAAATGAAAAAGTCAGTTGGGACAAAAACTTTCTTTCTTTTTTTTCCAGACATGAGGAACATGATTTGAAGCGATCAGACAATATTAAAAGCACTTGTCATACTGGTATATATGATTTCCTGGTGAGAAAGTCATCGAGCTTCAACAGACACAGATCCTTTGTGATGAATGATTGTCTTACAGTGGCCTATCCTGGATGCCATCTGAGCATCTGCTCTATCTAAGCTTTATTCACAGCACAATTTGAGTTTTCATTAACAGAGGCAAAGTTTACTGCAGCAGCACATTGTAAAACTGTGTTATTGCACACAAACACACTCACGCTGTCCTCATGTATGCTTCAAAGCACACAATTAAACCCCCCAAACCTGAGTTCTCATTAAATAATACTCTTGAAAAGGTAACAGACATCATGCACACTCAGAGGAGTTATAATTGTGTGATTTATTATTATTATTATTATTATTATGATGATGATGATTATTATAATAATTGTTATTATTATTTGTTGTTTGACTTGATGGTGCAGAGATGATTTATTTATCATTTGAAATGCTGTTAGCTTGTTTTCACCCTGCAGAAGCGCCTGAGCTTCAGTGCGGGGGCTCATACTGTCTGTGTGTGACAAAGCAATCTTATCATACAGTATATAACCTCTGTCCCTATGTTAACCACTTGTATGCTCATACTCTGCTTTGTTATTTTATAGCACATGTAAGGCTCACAGTTATACACCTACTATACATATTATGAATATTTTCTCATTAAAAACAAAACAGGTAGATGTTGGATTACTGAGTGGTTCATTTACACATGCTTTCACTTTGAAACTAACACGATGTACCTGGCACTAATGCCCTTCACTGTTTGTCATGTGATAACACATGGGTAAGCAGCATCTAAACGATGAAAGCAAATTCTGGTTTAGTGCAATGAAGTGCTTCTGTAATGACTTTTTTTCAGCTTAAACTTCAGGTGGATCATCCAGAAGTGTAATGCATTCATTTGAGAAAAAAAAAATCTGCTGTTTTTCTGAAAAAGAGATGATTTCAGAAATCTCTTTAATTCAGAAAAACAGGATTTTCTCAAAGAACTTTAAAGATTTTGAGATGATCTCTTTAATTCAGAAAAACAGCAGGAATTTATTTTTCTCATGAAAACTTTTCTCAGGATTCTGAGATAATGAATGACTTTTTTTCTCAAGTGAATGCATTACACTTCCATAGGATCATCCATAATTTTAAGCCATTTCCAGCAGCACTGACACCATTATGACATTATTTTGACCATTGCCCTTCTATGTTAGAGCTTAGCAATGTGTTTTTAACTATTAAAACCAACCTGTAAAAACTACAAAATGGTATTAATTTGTGCTTTCTTTGCAGTGAAAAGTAAAAATACGTCTTAACTGGTGACTATATTGACGTGGGAACACTTACTCCAATTGAAAATGAAAATGCTCCAGTGGTTGAGTGTGGCAGGTGGTTTCCCAAATTTCAGACATACACAAGTTTCAGTTCACGCCTTTTTTTTTAACGGGCTATGTGTGAGCACATGAGGGGGAGGAAGTGGGCGTGGCAGGAGGCTTATCTTCTTCGGTGTTGCATCTGGTTTAACACATCCTGTACTAATGCAGAAAGACTAAGTAGTGGTCAAAAAATGCCTTCTATATTTCTCCACTGTTAGTCCGATTTCGGCTCTTAAGTTTTAGTGGAGGACGCCATTTTTCTTTGAATAACCTAAAAGTAGAAATCATGGTGATGCCGAGCTTGTGTCAGACTGCCTTCACGGTGCTCCGTCAGGTAGAGCCGATTATCGTGCTCGAGGAGCTGGGCAGCACTCTCTTCGACACCGCCCTGCAGATGGTAGTCAAGGACCGGAGTGCCAACGCCACCTACCCCGATATCTCCAGGGAGGCCAGCCAGCAGAGAGCCATGACGGACTTCTTCATGACCTACAACCTCATCATCCGGCTGGTCCCGATCATTCCTGCGCTGTTCCTTGCCAAGTTGAGCGACCGCGGCAGGAGGAAAGCTCCCATCGTGGTGCCCCTGATTGGTTACGTGCTGTCCAGGCTCGCCCTTCTCCTGGTGGTCATCTTCCGTATGCCGGTGGAGGTGATGTTCGGCGCGGGGGTCGTTTTCGGGCTCTCCGGCGGGTTCTGCGCCTACTGGCCCGGTGTGATGACGCTGGCGTCGCTCGGCTCCACGGCAACTGACCGGTCCAAGGTCAGTGTTTAGTTTTCGGAGAAATTAAAATGTAATTTACAGCATCATTATCTGCCATTATCTGTTGAGTTTAGTCATGAATTATTTTCTAAAATGTGATAGAGCATACACTGTGTTCATCACAGGAGAAAAGCAAATCACAGTCCTCACAGTGTTGCTGCATGTTTGAACTGCTCTGAACATATTTGTTCAGAGCAGTTCAGTGTTGCAGTGTCCTAACGATGGCTACGTCAGATAAAGATGACAGAAGGTTCTTTATTAGAGTATCCATGATCTTATCTTAGTCCGTGTTTGAAGTTTTAGAGAAAAAGATTCTTTTCTTTTTAAATATCTGCTGTGTTTACCACGACCAAACTCCATCACTGCCTAAAAACATTCGCTGTCCAACTTGAGAAAACATGTTGAGGGTTTTCACTTTTGTGTAATTCAGATAAACTTTTAAACAGACAGCTTGTAGTAGTTGCCGTTTTTTATGCGTGTGGTTGGTCAAATGACCTATGGCCATTTCTACAGGCTTTGTATCATTTTCTATAATCTTTTTATTCTACAGGTTCTACAGTCAGTCGTTCAGTAGGTTGTTTCTGTGGAACAACACAACAATGTGTTCACATAAAAAATGTACTTTTTTATTTTAAAAGAAATTACTCCAGTACTTTGACTCAAGTAAAAATGTGACTGAACCACTTATGCTTGTATTGGAGTAATGTTTGATCAGGAGTGTCTGTGCTTTGACTCAAATCAATAGTGGAATAACGGAGCTGTGACCTTCGTCCGCCTCTGAATATCTTGCCACCTGAATGACTAGACAAACTGTTCTCATTATTCACTGATTTCTGCAACTCTTCCTTCAACTGGAGCACACACAAGTGTTCACAAACGTTGAGTTCTTGTATAGAATTATTGCCAGTTTTCTGTAAATACAGTATGACAATATTGGGGGGGTTGGAAACCGGCACAGCCTCTATCATGTTCAGTGCTGTAATGTTTTTACACGGTAGTATTCCTACTGTTACTTTTACTTTTAAGGACTGTATATTTTTTCAGTACTTTATATATACATTGTGTTATATAAAAGACTTGGTGAAACTGTGTAACATCTAATACTGCCACATCATTCATGCCCCTGACAAATGTACATACATCTTTGGCCTAGAATAACCGAAAAAACACCACAAACCCATACATACATACAAAAATAGAAAAACAGCAACATTAAACAACAAAGTTAGTTTCCTTAAAGTTGAGATAACTAAATTCTAACTTTTAAAAGAAACGGTATGTGTTCATGTCCCGTGCAGGTGATGATGAGGGTGGAGCTGCTGTATGGGACAGCAGGTCTGGTGGGCAGCCTGGTGTCGGGTCATCTGTTCCAGCTCTACAGCTCCAGTCTGGGACATGGGATCGTCCTGCTCATTGTGAGCATACTGCTGCACCTGCTCTGCCTCATATTCTCCATAGCTCTGCTGCAGGTCAGTGTGTGTATGTGTGTGTGTGTGTGTGTGTGTGTGTGTGTGTGTGTAATGTTACAGAGTTTTGATTGTTGTGTCATGATTGTTTTAATTGTTGTGTCCCTATAAGCTAAGGCTGCACCATAAATTGGTTTGTTTATCGATATTCAAGCTTGAAATATTGTCTGCCCCACATTTTTAACTTTTCAGCCCCAGATTAATTACTATTATTTTGCTGAGCAGTATATAGCTCATGCAGATGTTAAATGTGTGTGTGTGTCTAAATTAAAGGTGAAACAAGTTTCCAACAACGAGCCTGATGAGAACTGCCACGCCCTTTCTCAAACCTCTGACAATGCCGCTGTTGTCGAGCCTCCTGCTGGGATAAACGTGGTGAACGTGGTTCTGCTGTTCTTGGCTGCCATCCTGTACAACTTTGCAGTGGGTGGAGCCATAGAGATACTGGGTGTCTTTGTGTTGAAAGAGCCGCTCAGCTGGAGCGCCACTCAGGTGACATTCTGCTCTATTTGCATGCATTATGTGTGCTTTTTTTTGTACAGTTTAGTGTATATTTATTTCTTCCGTCAAACTGATTTTGTCTCACTTTTCATTTTCCTTTTTTTCTTTCCTTCACTGTCTCCTTTTATCTTTTCCCGTCTTTCTCTCTTCCTCCAGGTTGGTTATGGGAACGCAGCAGGCTGCGTGATTTTCCTCACCAGTTTCCTCGGTGTCATCCTGTTCCGTCGCTGCTTCAGCGACGTCATGCTCATCCTGATCGGCATGCTGTCGTTCGCCTCTGGAATCTACTTCATGTCCTTCGTCACGACAACCTGCATGTTTTACCTTGGTGAGGCTGAGCATCCACACTGAGCCACGCTTTGTGAAGGATCATGATTAATGTACAATTCAACCTGAAAAAAATTCATGCTATGTTGTCTACACGCTGTTTTGTGTCATACTCTCTGAAGAAGGCCACCTGCGTATGCACCATTTTCTTTCTCTTAACAAAATACAACAGAAGCATTATCTATCATCCTTTCCTTAACAATTGTCCCATTCTGCTGTAACATCAGGTTAAATATTGGATTAATAACACTGCTGCTTTTTTAACTTAACACATTTTTTACTTAAATATTTCAAGCAGGGTTATGCGATCATCCTAAAGGCAAAATCATTTGGGGGACTGAAATAGAACTACAAATAACTTATTATCGATAACAAATTAAAATAGGAAATTAATAAAAAACCCAAAGATACATCATATACCTTGATATGAAACCACAGAAAAGGAATCTATTCTATTAAATGATTAACTGATTAATTGAGTAATCATTTCAACACTGGTGAAAAGTGAAACTTAACATAATTGATGCGGCACCAGTTTTAGATGTGTATATCAAAAAACAAATAAGTGGAGCCATCTTTTCTCCCTTGTTGTGTGATGTGTGAGTAGTAGTCATAGTCAGCCATATTGTTGTTGTGACAGATAGAGTTGCCCCGCAAAAATAAAAACATCTCCTTCACAGTCTTTCACATGTGGCCTGGTGGTTTAACAGGTTGTTCTTTAAATAAAATATGAGGTTTAGTTTTTATTTCCCACCAGAACAGCAGGCACTCTGTCTGCTCTGTTGTTTTTTTTCTTTCTTTTTTTTTATTCAGCAAAAGTAAGAAAGGGAATCAGAATACCTACTATCTGTGTTAAAAGTCAACCATTACTGACCTTACATTTAACACGAACAGGACTAGCAGGATTGTATCAGCTGGCTCCACATCTGACACATGTAGGTCATCAGTACAGATAAATAAAAATAGGAACCAAAATAAGGAACTGACAGTGAGTATAAGTCATAAACATCCTAATCTTCATCCAACACTATACTACACCAGAGAGCTCCATAGATTTTCTGTGTTAAAGCTGGAGTGTGGGACTTGTACATATAAATGAACATCCCATTACATTCAAGCCCTTGCCAAACAAGTTCACACGATGCTGATTAAGGTAAATCTCTCTGTATTTCGTGGTGAGATTGCCGTGCTGTAGCAGTGGTAACAATGCCTTTTATCTCAACCAGCCAATGACTGGGTTGCCAGAGCAACCACAGTGATGGAGAAGGGGTAGGCTACAGCAGTACGGACAATCATGGATTACCATTGGTGTGGCTTTTCCTCGTTAGAGAGTGCTGCGTGTGTAATTACTCTCACTGCCAGGACAGGCAGGCTGCTAATAGACAGTACCAGTTATAATGTTTGCTCTTATTGTGTACTTACTGTGTTGTGGTAGTTGTTTACACTATATTTACACACTATTACTGTAACACAAAAGACTGATTGTTTGGATAACATAGATGAGATATGAAAAAGTAGCCACAGCTCTTTCAGACACACAAACCTGCCGAATATGGAAAATTGTGGCTAAAAGGGACGAACAAAATTAGGTAAAATTATTCATTATTCATTTCTCTGCAGCTCGCTCACTCAACCTGTTTGCTCTCATCCCGATGCCCACGATCAGATCTCTACTCTCACAGCAGGTTCCAGCATCCTCATGTGGTGAGTATGCAACCTGTGTGTGTGTGTGTGTGTGTGTGTGTGTGTGTGTGTGTGTGTGTGTGTAGCACCACAGATGAGTAATAAATAAATAAAAATAGTAGGGATAATAGAACAGTTAAAGCAATTACATAAATAGTAGTATTATACTGCTGATGGTTCCATCACATTGATATGTCTTTGAAAGTGAGAAATGTTGATCATTTTTTTCAATACATTACATGTATGGATTTATAACATACAGCTGGAATATTAAAGGGTCAGTTCATCTAAATTACAAAACAAAACCAACATATTTTCTCACTTACCTCTAGATTTTTTTAAATGGAGAAAGTAATTTCAAAAATGTTCACATTGAAGTCTGTGGATGATCCAGAGTAAGCAGGACTCCACTAAATGTCATTTTTCAATGCAACAAACACCATAAACAAAAGTATATCAACCTTCACAATATAGAGGTGGAGGCGGAAACGGACAAATTAACGTGGCAAAATAAAACCCTAACTATACGTGTGGCCACATATCGCCACGGGTAAGGGACAAAATTTGGGTTAATTTACACTTTAGATATAAATAAAATAAAAGTGAAAATACATGCTATTAAGGCTTGTTACTGGAACAAATATTTACATACTGCAGTATTTATAATACTGATGGTATCAAAGATAAAAGAGAAATGCAGGATTCAGATTATGTCAAAGGGAGGCGGAAGTTGTGAGAGCGGGATTACAGCATGATATTTCCTGAAAGTTGAGTTTGCATTCTGAAGATCAATGACAGGTCAGAAAAAAAACTCAATGGTCCTCTTACATTGTTAGGAGTAGCTGTGTGATGGAACATGTGTTCTTATATGTTGCCTAGCAGATAAAAAAAAATAATTTAGAAATTATGTGTGGTTTTTATGACATTTTTGAAGCCTTACTATACTATGACGTTTTTATGACATTTTTGAAGCCTTACTATACTATGATGTTTTTGTGACATTTTTGATGCCTTACATACTATGACGTTTTTATGACATTTTTGATGCCTTACTATACTATGACGTTTTTATGACATTTTTGATGCCTTAATATACTATGACGTTTTTATGACATTTTTGTACTATGNCTATGACGTTTTTATGACATTTTTGATGCCTTACTATACTATGACGTTTTTATGACATTTTTGATGCCTTAATATACTATGACGTTTTTGATGCCTTACTATACTATGACGTTTTTATGACATTTTTGATGCTTTACTATACTATGACGTTCTGATAACGTTTTTGATGCCTTACTATACTATGATGTTTAAAGAGTCATTTCTGCCACAACAAGTCAGCATGTCATGCTTCCTCTCTCTGACACATTTACTCATGATTAGGACCAGGGTTATTCATTATCAGGGATTTTCCTTGTTTGTTTGCTTTGATGTGATGTCTGCTCGAGAAGTCAGTGCAATGCAAACACACACACCAGCAACACCAACCCTTTTCCTGTCCACACACACATACCAAAAAATTAAAGATTAAAAAATATACTGTACCATGCAAATGTTTAAGGTGCAAAACATAAAATGAAGATGCTTTCAAAATGGTATGAATCGTTTTTATTTATCAACCAACATCACACAAAGTGCAGTAAACAGAAAAAAAACTAAATCATATCAATATTTGGTGTGACCAGTGACAAGTGCCTTGTATTTGAAACAGTACCAGTTCTCCTCAGTGCACTTGCACAAAGTTTTTCAAAGGTACTTGGCAGGTAGGTTGCTCAAAGCATCTTGGAGAACTTGCAACAGTTCTGTGCAATGGTAGCTGAATGATTGCATTCAAGGAATATGAAAAAAAAAACTGGAAAAATAAGAAAACAAACAGGAGCAACTGCATTAGGGAAAATGCATGCATACTTTTTTTCTTTGTTAATTTATTACATGTTTCTCAAAACGTTGAACCGTTCCTTTAAGAAGAACTTACTCAGATTCACTTCTCTCTCCTTTAACCTATCTGTCCTCTTTCCTTCCCATCAGGCACCACTCTCACCTCCCTGCAGCTGGCCCTGAAGTTTGCTGGTCTGGCTTACATCCCTGCCTTTACTAAGATCTATCAGAGAACCCTGGACTGGTTCCCAGGCTTTGTCTTCATGCTCTCCAGCATCTTTACCGTACTGGGAATGATACCCATCAGGTACTGTTTTTATCCAGCTTCAGATCTGTATATTAGTTTTAGTAGGCACCACTAAAAAAGAGTGAAAAACTGAACATAGAAAATACTTGTTACTGTGATAAAACTTAATTTGGACTTGACCCACACATTCTCACTCACACACTTTCCCCTTTTTCCTCCCTCCAGTATCGTCGGCTGCAGATCACCACAGAGGCGACAGTACGAAAGGATTTAGTGAGACTGAGCAGCAGTGAGTTAGCACTGGTATGACACAGATGGGAAGTGAAACATGGAGTTAGCAAGACTATAACTGTAGACGCTGCAGTAAAGGGGCTCCTGCACTTAAGCTGTTACAGGAGGAACAAACAGAAGTCGTATGTTTACATGAGCATTTTATGATACAGCCATTATATAAGGCCTGTGTGGACAGATGACTCGCCCCGACAGGTGGCACTGCATGAAAATATCTCAAACCAGTCTGACAAGAAGATATGAAAATTGAAACTGTTGAACTTTTCAACCGAGTTGCAAGCAAATGACATCAGCCAGTGGATTTCATCAACCAGTGACGTGTCCACAACAATATGCCCATGGTGATTTCAACATAATGTACTAACTGCAATAACTTTTCAGGGAATGTGTCAGACATGAAAAGTCCCTTATGAGCACTGCTGAAAATAAAGAAAGATTTGATTTCATGCATTTAATCACATTTGCTTTTGTGAACCAGCTCAAGATACAGGATCACATTATTTCATTAATAAATATTTTATATATTTGGTTCAGTTCTGACACCTATAACAAAGCCTTGCAGGGATTTCAGGGATTTTCATACACATTACTTGGAAGTTAAATTTCCAGTTGCCACCGCGCCTGCCGTTGTAGTATATGTAATCTTATGAGATTTTAAATATCAGACATCAGAAGGTCATATTCCATTGTGATTGCAGATTTTGTTTTCTTCTTAGTTTACACTTTGTTGTTAATTGTAGTTTTGGTTACTAGTAGTGAGAGTGTGGCCAAAAATCAATTGTTGTGACCAAATCAGGATCAAAATCTGCTGCTGGGTGGCGTTAGTGTTTCTGTACTTGAGGAAGGTTTACAGACCTGTTGACACACTCTGTTTGTTAATTTACTTGCAGAGTTATTTGCGTTGTGGTTCCAATTACCAGTCACCGGAAAAAAATCATCTGAAGGTCCCTCATACTGACTTATCTTCAAAAAACTAAGGTCTGGATAAATTGTCTAGAATTAAAATATATGCACTTTATGGTATGTGGCGCGCAACACAACTTCGAAACCTGCAGGTCAGGACATGCTGACAGAGCGAAGGAAATATCTGTTTTAAAATGACATTCGTGTTTTTATGATTTTTTTCACTTGTGATATTATTTTATACTGTGATATCTCCTTTTAATTTTGCATTTGGTTGTAAAGCACTTTAAACTGCTCTAACCTATATGAAAGGTACTATACAGTTTGATAATGTGTTACTTTTGCTGTTAGCAGCCAAATTGTCTGTGCATTAAATTATCACTGTATATTTTAAAAAGTCAGAAACAAAACAATGAAATTGTCATGTTGAAATGTCATATTTTGTAATAACTACAGATGGATTTAATAAATATTTTATAACTAGAGTAGTTATACCTGAAGTGACCTTGTCGCCCTGTGAAGAGGTTTGGTAATCTCAGCATGTCTTGTCATCTTGTTTTATGATTTTTAAAGGTAGAGCTGAAGGGAAGAAGGCAGCCTGCAGTATCATTATTTCGACTTAATGAATTCATTTATTATTGCATTTTTACATGTTATGTGACACTTTAAAAAGCACATATACAAAAGGATTGCTGTCAGTGTTATTACACATAAGGTACATTTTATCATCAATCTACAGTTATGTTGTATAAAAGTATAGTTTCTGTTGTTTTTAAATAAATATTCCTCAAAACATTTTTGTTTTGAGATCTCTAATTTGATTTTGTCTGTATGAAAGTAACTGAATGCAATGTATCATGAAATTCACTTTAATTCTGCAAATAAAGAATTTAAAATGTATTTTTTAATGATTAGTATTGCAATTAAAGACTCTTATCTAAACCTTCTAGATCCATGTTTTTGTTACATCTTTGTAAGGGCATTATTACTATACATGCTTTCATCAAATAATTACTTTTTTTTGCAGTCACAATACATTTTAATTTGCGAAAACATACAATGTTACAGAAGAAACAAGAAAAATCAGACCAGAGCAGGAAAATATCAAATGAATTCTTTCTTTTTATTATTGGTCCGATATATCCAAAAAATCATTTGAGGTAAAGATAAATTGCATCAAAAACAACATCAATATACAAGCTTATTTATAATTACAACAAGATGTTATTCACATCCAAATGTACAATAAGGACTCTGAACGTAAACAGTACACACTGGGGAGGAACAGAAATAAAAAGACTGAAGCTTGAGATTCACACGCTCATAAGTCGTCTGACTTTCTACCTTTCGTACAGGTTTGATTGGTCAGGTTCTTCCTGTCCTGCAAATCAGATTCTCACTTCATGTGTGAATGTTCGTGAGGAAGACAGGAGGAAAAGACGGGGACATTTGGCTTAGAAATATTTGATTTGTACATTAAAGAAAAACAAAACACCCCCCAACACACACACACACACACATACACACACACACAAAAAAACAAACAAAAAAAAAAAACACAATTCTCCCCGTTTTATAGGCTTGTACATTGGTAGCTATCATAGTCGTCCCTGTTTGCTGAGTTAACCTGAATTAGCTGTGCAGGCAATGCCTTCTTAATATTACAGAATATTACGAACTGAAATAAAAAATATGTCTCAACCAAATTTAGTTTTTGTTCAATTTTTTTTTTTTAGCAGACTTTTCTGCCAGGGGGGTGGAGCTACGTATATAGTGCAACAATAAATCAGCAGGCACACAGTATAAGATGGGGCTTTTACAATGGCTATGAATAAGGAGAAGTAAATTCATTTGAGAACTGTCATCAGGGTTCCAATGAGCATCAAAAATAAAAATAACATTTTTCATACCTCATATTTTGGTTATGCAAGACTTGCATTGTTACCACAAATCTCCAAAACTCCTTCTAAAATGTATTAATCTTCACATACTCAGTGGAACCCCAACAATGATCTTCTTATCATACAAAAATAGACTCAGCTGTACCGTATATAATTCAGCTGTACATTGGAGTATATTGAATATACAGAATATTGCCATTAGAGCAAAAAGAAATTTCAGTCAAGTCTGAGTGACCTCAGAACTTGTGCATGCTCAAGGTCAGGTCACTTGATCAGGTCAGTACTGTTACTTCATTTACACCAGAGAGCAAGAAAGTCTACAGATGCACCGATGCCTTTTATTTTTTAAATCACTGCCCCGATAGCAACGATTCACAGTGCTCAGCTGTTAACAATCAGCAAGCCGATCAAGAAAACAAAACAGATCTACAAAGAAAAGAGTGAGTGAGTTATTCTATTATTATATATTTTTTTTTCTTTCTTTTTTTAAAAGTTTTATCATGTTTGCTACATTTCCCGTTCCTCAGTTCTTTATCAAGTCAATATAATAAAATGTACCTGGATTACAGTGAACAGTTTGTTTTTGCTGGAAAGATGTAGAAATCGTGTCAGATGCCCTCTGCTGTCTCATTTCTCATGGTCACCAGTGCAGTATGAAATGGTGAACGGATTTTGGAATGTAAAACTTTCAGTCTGATATAATCAATCTGCTTTAAAAGGCGCACTGTGGTTTTCTTGTAAACACACACATTTCTGTTTACATTTTTCTTACCAAAATCCTTTCTGTGTTTCCTTGAGATACAAACAAATCAGGCATCTGCTCACAAAAACACTGCTCCACAGCACCACTAGTGGTCAAAAACTCTACAAGGGTACCTTTAACTTTGCTTCGTTTCAGTGCATTACCTTAAAATATCCTTAGTTGTGGTGCTTGTTTTGATAACTTGTGACATTGAACATAAGAAGGATGTAAAATGAGCAAAACCCTATATTATAGAGTAACTGTGCTTTTAAAGAAGTGGTTAAAGGATAAAAATGGAGGTCTTCTTCTACAGTATACGTGAAACACTTCCTACGCTGGCTCTTCATACAGGATTCTAATATTTTGGTATTCTGATATACAAATACAGGAATTTAGCCTTTTAGCATCAGTGCATCCATAGTACTGTCTGCTGTGGCTGCCTAAACACTGGACCACAGCTATTCTTCCTGCTCCGGCTAACTGGCTGCATTCAGCACGCACAATTAAAAATATAATATTCTTCATGAATCACTTCCCTGATTTCTGGCAGTAAGAGGAAGCAGTAGCTTCATGCTTTGAGAGCTCAAGGGGAATGACGGACATAAAAAAAAAAAAAAAAAAAAAAAAAAACTGACAAAGAACTAAAACAAGCAGACGCAGTCACTTCATCTCATCGCCGTCTTACAGCACTCGCATTTGGCTACACTGAGAGCAGCCTCAGTAAAGTGGCATCAGCGCAAAAATGAAGAGGCCTCCAAAAATGATCAGATAATAGGGCACCATTTAAAAAGAAAGAAAACAAAAGGAGATTTGTATGTTTTAAAGAAGCATTAAAAAAGCTGAGATTATTGTAATTTTGCTACGTCACTGCCCCATATCAGCACCTTTCTAAAAATGCTGTCAATAAATAAAAGAACACTAAAAAAAACTCTTCTTCAAACAGAAGTGATTAACACATCTGACTGAAAAATAAATGTTTCCCCCTTTTTATGAGGCTACAAAATGTGATATCTGTGCCACAAATTCATTTATTTTCGCTACTTTATGCTGAATGTAATGATGTAGCGATACAGCTGAGGACAGTGAGGGGGGGGGGGGATAAAAACGCTTTAAGTTTTTATATATGGGAGGGAATAATGCTAAACTCAGCAATGCCACTAATGACATTACTGTCAACCTACAGTAACTCTCTGGATGTTCAAAAGCCATCTTAGTAAAAAAAAAAGCGGTCACTAAATAAAAGAGGGTTCAGCAACAATTTGAGCCACAAATCTTTTTTTTTTTTTTTTTTTAAATAGAGGAAACCAGTGTGACGCAAAAAAAGCTCTTGGTCATACATGCTGCTGCTACACCCTTAAAATGTTTCCCATGAGTCACAGCTAAGCAGACGAGGTCAGAGGCTTCAACAGAACCAAACTGCAAAGCTTATGTCCACATTTCTGAGTCATTTAGATTCATACTAGGAGAAATAAATTGTTTACTTAAAAGAAGTAGCATTAACTTTTAAACTAGAGGCTGTACCACTCAAAATGTAGTTTTTAAAAATATCTGGCTCTGGCCCGAGAAGCGTTCAGAAAACTCTTTTTAGCACCACTTTATCCAATTCCTCAGGTGTTTACATGAAACAGCAGATATTCCACAGAAGAAGAAAATATGAACAGGAAAAGACATGACGGAAAAGTGCTGTTTGTTTCTCTGTAAGCCAGCAACGTCAACATTTTTAAGCACTGAAGATGAACTTTTCTTAAAACAAGATATAATTCTATTAATGGGGCGTGATAAAGCCATGTGTTCCCGATGTTTTTGTTTCAGAGATATGATGTAAATGAGAGTCACTGAGGCAGATTACGGCAAGAAAATAACATTTGACTCGAAAACATTCTTCAAAAGCATTGACACCTGATTGTTTTCACTTGCTTAAAGAGAATAAAGTAAAGTGTACCGATACAGTCTTCACCTTCCACTCCCTCTGTGTGTTTTTCATTGGGTAAATCTGCCCGGTGAGCCATTTAGCATCCCCAGCTGAGTTAAAGCCTTTTCCTTCTAGAAGAGAGCTGAAGTCGCGACAGCAAGTACATTTGGTAGCACACTGTTCAGCCACCAGTTGCAAAAGGATGAAAGCTATTAGCAGTTTGACCACCAGATGGCGCTGCTGCATTGCACTCAAAACACTAAAGTATAACCAAATCAGGCTCGACATTCAACTCAGACACCCACACCTGTGCCGTCACCGTCAAATGCAGCTTTGCCTCGTTGTCTACTTATCTGTTAAGGTGTGGAGCAAAAATAGCCCAAAAAAAAAGTTTAAAGTTTCCCTTTGTCGAACTAACAGAGGCTTCTCTACTGAGGTCGCTGCGCCGCCTGCAGGGACACGTCGTGAACCTCTGATGCCACAGCAAATTCAAGTCTCTGTAAGCTGATTTTTCTTAGTAACAATGGTTTGCAGAAGGAAATTAGGAAAACTGTAAAGCTTATGAAGTTTTGGAAAATGGGTCAACAGTAATTACAAATACAAGATTTTATGGGCTAAAACATGCACAAAAAAAAATTATGAGACGGTTGTTAAGTATAAAATATTGGTTTCTTATTTACAGCCAATATGATGCCTTTAAGAGATGAAAAAGTCTCGTTTCAGTGGAGAGTTTTGCCGTCTACCGTTTTCACTGGCTTTCACAACCTGACAGGGAAAGAAATCTTGGGGATGCTCCAAATAGTTTTACTTTAATTTAAGATACTTCGCACCCACTCAAAATTTCTGTATCTGCCTTTAAAAACTGTTTTCTGCAAGGCTGAAGAGTTATCCTTCACATTTGGCTCAACGTGAACATGGAGAGAACAGAAAGAAAAAGCGCCTCTCTGAGACCGCAGTTAAATAAACACAAATAGCATTGGCAACCGACTGTTAATTGGAAATATGAAGTAGAAAAAGTCAATAAGAACAATGACAAAAAAAAAAAAAAAAAAAGTCTGTACATAGTAGGTCTCTCCTCTTTCGCTGCTGTCCTTGAACGCACCGTTCATTACCTCTTTTGCAGGTCAGATCGTGGAGAGAGAGACGACTCCCCCTCTGTACAATCATCTGAAGAGAGAACAGGGGCAAAAGTCCAGCAGTTTCAGTCTGCTGCCCAGGTTGGTCCTTTTCCTTGGCATGAGTGTGAGTGTGTTACAGAGAGGGAGAGAGAGAGAGAGAGAGAGAGATAAGGGCCAGAGACATGAGGTGATGTTTCAGTTCGTCTCGCTCGTTTTGTCCTCAGTCTGTTTGTCCTGGAGGAGAGTTATGAGCGACTCCCACGCTGCCTGGCACTAGACAGGGAGGAGATGGGCGAAGAGTCAGTCGATGGAGGGAAAGAATGAGGTGAGAGGGAAAGACAGAGAGAGGCAGAGGCAACTTCATGCATTTGTTTTACATTTTGTTTTCAGCTTTACATTCAAGTAAAGCATTTCTATCGTTTCTGACTTTTGTGTTTCAAAGTGGCTCGTTTGATGGGTAAGATAAGTCTGGGAGAGTGAGTGAAAAAGCAGCTCTTGTTTATCCCTAAATGTCCCCACTTAGGCGCCCTTGAGCAAAGCATTTAACTCCTCTCTGCTTCAGTGGATCACACTGCTGTTGTACTGGGCAGCTTCCATGTGAGAGGGAGTATATCTGCGTGCTTCTGCTAGAGAGCATTCATCTTCAGCGAATCCACCCTGGATAAATAAAGGTCAACAAGAGCTCAGCTAGTGCTCTGTTGGATCTGGTCCCAAAGCTCAGCTGGCTACAGATGCTAGATTATTTAAGAGTATTGACTTGTTACTATGTGTTTACTATGGATCTGTCGCCTGAAACAAAATAATCTTATTGACAATGATTAGGGCTGGGCATCAGACATCAATACTTTTTAAATTCTATCTGCAGAACTGAGTATTGAAAACATTTCTTAAGGTTGAATAATAATGCGTTTAATGTCACGTTGGAACAATTATCAGAAATGTGGCTTTTGTTCAATTGATATTTATATAGAAATATCTTTAAACCGTCCAAAAACATATCAGTATCAATATATTTTGAAAGATACTCAGCCCTAACGATGACTAACTTCTACACTGACACTCTTCTATTTTTAGTGTTATTGTGGGAAACATGGAAACCTGCATCTTCTTTGTCATAATTTGTTTATTGGTGGGTGTGAGGGCTCTAAATTCTTCTATGTGTGAATACATTTTAACACAATAACACCCAACACCCCAAAGTCCATGTTTTTGCAGTGTTTTCAAGTCATTGCATGAGTGCTTTACAGCAGCCAGCGTACCTTTTCATAGTAGTTGATGTTTTTGTCGGCCATGCCGGTGAGAAGCTGTTTGAAGTCTTGTCTCTTGTTGCTCTGCCAGCGCTCCCAGTCCGCCTTCAGGTCAGCGTTGAAACATTCCACTTTGTCCTGGCATTTCTCTACTTCCATTGGTATCTACAGCGAGGCAGAGAAAACTACAGCTACAGGGGGGTTTGAAGGGACATAATACGAGACTACATTTTATAGGACTAGACTCACAGGTGAGGGGAGGGGGGGTGATCTGGGTGGTGCATTAGTTTTGGAGGGGAGGGTGGTATCAGAGAATTGAATTGAAGTGATAGATGGATGGATTTTTGTACAGGTAGATCCAACAATTGTCCCTTTAATTCCAGGGCATACCAGCTGCACTTTGAAATGAAAATAACGTGGTGAATAATTAACTGTCTGGTTGAAATACTTGTATTTAAAATAGTTAAATGCTACAGCACATGCTTTCAACAGTGACATTTTAAGGATTGAGAGTAACACCATGAAGTTAACCTTGGCAAAGTACCGACACCCCCAGGAAATGTGAACAGTGAACGCAGCAAAATTTGAAGGCTTCCACATGTGAGGGGAGGATGCTTACAGGCGTTCTGTCCTCCTGTTTGCGCAATACGGCTGCTTCTAGTCGCCCCTCGTACTCCGCCTGGCTCTGGTCCCGCTTCCTCAAAACATTCTGCAATATCCAAACGGCAAACAATGTAGCGTTACTACGGCTTTTACTGATCCTGTAATTATTTCCAAGAGACAACTTATGAAAAAATATTAACAGAGAGAGAAATGCTGAATCAGGGGCTTGGTGAGGACAGGACATGACACATGTAGAATCTAAGATGATACTTCCTTCATTCAGGGTCAGAGGTGACTAAGCAGGATAAAGGATCAATTTTGAAACAGTCTGTGTTTTTGAGTGTGCAGCTGTGGTTCAGGAGGTAGAGCAGGGTTGTCCGCTGATTACAAGGTCGGTGGTTCGATCCCCGGCTCCTCCAGGCCGCATGTCCAAGTATCCTCGTGCAAGACACTGAACCCCTACATTGCCTCTGGTGGCTGTTCTATCAGTGTATGAATGTGGCAAGTATCGTGAAGCGCTTTGAATGGTCAGTAAGACTAGAAAAGCGCTATATGAGTCCATTTACTTATTTCATTGCACCAAGAACCTTTTAACATTTAGAAATAATATTAACACCAAGGACTTATTAACAGTTAACAGAACATTATAACCTCACAAATGTCAATCTCAAACCGCATTTTCCCGTAACAAGTCATACGTTTGATCTACTTTTAATGACTCTGTTTGGCTTTCAGTTCCGAGGCGACCACCCTCTCTCACCTTCATGGACTCTATGTAGAGGACGTACTCTCTGAGCACTGGCAGAAAGTCCTGGCTCATGTTGTCACTCAGCTCCTCCAGCGCTCCGCAGCACGTTGTCACGCTGCCGGCCACGCCCTCCAGGGGGCGCCGCAGCTCCTCCTCTGACCCCGCCCAGCTGGAGTACACAGTGCCGTACTCTCGCAGTTCTGTTAGGTACTCTGGGAAAAACATAAAGAAAAGTAGAGTTACGGCCTTCGTTCCTCTACACAATTCAGTTTCTGCTGACTTTTTCATGCTTCATAATGACCTGTGGATGAAGACACTGCTGCACTGGGAATCAGATCACAGCAGAACCTTCTCTCTTTCCTCACAGGCGATACTGAGGGATTGTCATGTTCCACTGCAAAATCTATATTTGTAAATTACACATGAGAGAGGCTGATGGCCAAACACCAGGCTGCTGAGTCGGGCATGCATGGCATTTGCTTTTTCACACATTCCGTGTCAGCTCATAGGCCTTTATTATCTACAGTCCCCCTCCCTGAGATTCCATCTTATCTCCTTCAATATTGAAACAAGGACTTTTCCTTTACGCTCCAGATTTTCAGGCCACAGACTGCAACACATTTAAAATCCGAACAGACGGTGACAGTGAGGATTTCACACGGCAGAATCACTTGTCATCACTTTTAGGACTGTAGTCATCAGCCATGCAGCCTCAAGGCCCAAAGGTCAGTCGGTTTTTCTCCAAACAAACACTACAGCAGTGCAAAAGTCAATACTGCAGATAAACTGGTACAGGCTAGTGTTAGCCACCTTGCTAAAGACCGAACCATTTCATGACATACACACAAGTGCAGTGTAGCATGTACAAATAGCTGCCAGTACGTAAGAGTATGAGCAGGTCTACTTGAGGCCACGCTGCAGGCAGCACAAACCACTGTTTCTAAATGTTGTTTCCTGGTGCCTGAAATATGGGTTTGGATAAATTGCACAATGAAGAAGTGGTCAGCTGTCTGACCAGTGAAGATGCTTACAGCTCAGGGCCGGTGTGCAAAGTTCTGCCAGACCGAGGCCACATTTGCATAATAATAGAGTTGGTAAATGTGAGATCAAACAGAAAAGCAACTGGTAAATAGAAAAGCAAAATGTTACTTTTCTCTTTAAAACCTGTCATTTTGAAATTTATTTTGTATTTAATTCTATTTTCAAAGTGATTTCCAAATTGATTCCCAAGTCCCGCTATTAAGAAATCTAGTTTTTAAATCATGTGTTTATTGGCTGCATTATGTAATGTCAACCTACGCTGCCCTAATTTTCTGTTTTGCAAAATCTCTTATGAATGTCTCCATTATTGCCAAATGCAACAATGAAGAAATTAACTTGTAAGCATTTGCAACACTGCTCGGTCCTCCGTACATTAAAACCAATGTTAAAAACCTCAGATCGACGTCATGTCCGAAGTCGAGTGAAAGCTCTGAGACCTCAACCACCGTAGAGACACAGGCATGAATTTATATCCCCAGCCTCCTCCATCGGTGCGATACCTGACTGCTCTTTGAGGATCCTCTGAGCGATGCGGTCGATGGTTCCCAGTTTCTGGCTGAAGGTGTCCAGGTACTCTCCCATGGCGCAGAATTCGGCCGGCCGCGCCCGCAGCTTGTAGCCTCCGGCCACGTGCTTCACCGACTCGCCCACTTTGGTCAGCAGGGCGAGACCCTGACGCTTGTTCAGGTCCTGCAGACAAACAGTGACAACAGCAACACACAATGATGTCAACTGTCACCTGTATGATGAGAAAATCCCACAGCTGCTTCTACTCTACTTTATTACCTTCAGTGCTTTATCACCAGTTTTACATGGTAGATCTTTATACTGTTCTTGTGTGGTTATGCTCTACTTCCTTTTTCTGAGTCCAATTATTTTACTGCTGCAAGAACCTAATTTCACCACAGGGATCAATAAAGTCTTGTCTTCTGTCTCAGCTACTGACTGATGGCAGAAATGGAGCGCGCAGACACACACACAGACACACACACACACACACACAGACACACACAGACACACACACACACACACACACACAAAGTTAGGAAGCAGAGGCTCTGCATTTTACTGGAAGATCACTGCTGAGATTAAGTGTTTTGATTTGCTTTAAACATGCATCTGTATTCATATTTATTTTATATTCTTCTTTTTGCATTTTACCATGATATATTCATAGATCAGTGGGACTACTTTCCTCTGTGGATTACACTAATTGATTTACTGAACTCTCTGTGCTGATGGCTGTTTATTAAGAGTTCTGGGTGACGGAAATTAAACCATTTCAAACCAAAAACCAACAGCTACACGGCCTGTGGCAGCAGATGTTTGTGGCAACACGGAGCCAGCAGTACGAGGAGAAGTTGAGCAACTCAAAATACTCAAAGTAAAATAAAAGTGTTGTTGTTAAGGGGTGGAGGAGTGATCTTAAGTGATCCTAAAATCTTATAAAAGAACAAAATGAAAATAATGAAAATTAGATGAAAGGTTCACAAAAAGGCCTGTGGAGAAAAAAAGTGAACTTCCCATCCTTGTGCTGTCTCACCTTGGCAGACAGGAAAGCGTTTAGATGCGGGTTGAAGGAGAGGACGGGATGGTCTGCAACTCGTTTCAAGAACTTGTCTAGAGCTTTCATCCTTGTCTCCACGAACTCCTCCGAGAAACGGTCCACCACGCCCTTCATCACAAACTTCTCTGGCAGCGGCTGGAGACAAGGAGAGACGGAAGAGGAGCAGGAGGAGGAGGAGGAGGAGGAGGAGGAGGAGAAGCAGAGCAGAGAGTACAAATGAAGCATCTCTCATTGGAAAACAGGGCAGTAGGCTGCGCCGTGCCTCATTTGACCTACTGGGATGAGGTGGGTCGGCTGGCTGTCTTCCAACTTGATCCTCAGCCAGTCAAAGTCTTGGTAGCGACGTCGCACGCAGTATTCTGGCAAGTCAAACTCTATCCGTGATGTCTGAAGAAAAACACACACACACACACACACACACACACTTGTTGTGTTACCAGGGAGGATACAGTTTATAAATGACACAATAAAAGTCCAATTCTCATCCTTCATTTATCAAAACCCTGAAGAGGGACCCACATGTATTTACCTTCTGTAACTGGGGGTTCATTGTGTGTTTCTGTCGACTGAGGAAACATTAAGCCAAGTTAAGTCCAAGTGCAGTGTGTGGACAATAATAAAAAAAACTGAGGTGCTCCCTACTTTTGAAAAAAAACAAGTTACATTGTGTGAAATGGCTTGATAGGTTTTTTTGACAGGTTTTTTAAGTCAGTAGCAGTGAATTACATTTGCATGATTCTCATAAGATGATTTATGATTGGTAATTTAAGATTAGTTCATTGCATATATATAAGTTGATAAATGTATGTACAGCAGAATTCATATCTACACATTAGACTATAGCGTTACCACATCTCTGCTCATCTCAGCCCATTACTAGATTACTGTTCATGCTTGACCCTGAAATACAGCTGACACTGCGGATATGCACGCAAACACACACACTCACTCTCATGCTCTCACTTAACACTTTGTGTTCATACTGGGGATGTGATATTTGTCGAAGGCCTCTGAGCTGAGGCAACACAGTGGTGCACATAGCAGCTGTCATTTGTAACGGTGCAAGGCTACATTACGTTTGAGTATCCTCTTGTACCCCAAGCTGCTGCTCTACACTGACCAAAATAGAAAAACTAAGACACCAAGGACTTTAATATTACAACCACAGCTATACATATTGTACAAGAGCAGATCAAAAGAATTAAAGAGCTTCTAGATTGTAATTGACCATCATGATTTTCTTCTGTGGTTTGATCCATTTCATGCATGAACAGGTTGTAAAGGTCGGGCTGAATTATTGGGGAGACTATTTTTCTAAAATTTGAATAGTTCAAAAGTAAAAGTGACCATTTGACAATTATGTTGTGGCTGCATTACATATTTTTAGGCACTGTGGGCATAGAATTTGGTCTGTAAGTAAACAGCTGTTAATGCTATCGCTGGCTATGTAGCAATGGCAAAAGTTACAAATAGCTCCTTTAAATATGAATTAAAATCAAGCACAAAAGACACAAATATGGATGTTGTGAAAAAGAAATGAGATGATGTCTGTTCGTCAGCTGCCACTTGACTCTGGGATATCAAACTATGATGAACTTACCTCTCTGCGCGGGGGGGGGGGGGGGGGTTGTGTAAAGATATTGACTGCGTGCTTTTTAGGAAAACTGATTGCAGTAACATTATGTATACACGATTGGCAGGTGGGCTAAAACATGCAAAACAACCACTATGATCCCAGTAGACTGAGGATTAATGCGGTCTCTCTTGTCCAGAGGACAGACTGTTATCATGACAATAGCAGACCTTGGTGGACACTCTGTAGGTGATGTAGGTCTCCATGGTGGACACGTGTTTCTTTGGGTCGTCCACTGTGACAAAAAGGTCACGGGTTTCCATGGATGCGTAAGGGTCCCGGGCGTCTGCTTCCAGGTCATCGTCCAGCTGCAGCCTGTTGAACAGCGAGGACGCCGAGGCAGGACTCGACGTCTCCACCGGCGTGCCGTTGGTCAACACCGCTTCCTGCATGGACACATATGACACCATGGTGACATCAAATTCGGATGCTGCAGCGGGAAAAGCTGCAAACAAAGAGCTGATAGATTGATGCTGACGGTGATGCAGTTGTTTCTCTCTGTCAATGGAGCTCTTGTTGAGGCTGCTGCTGCTGCTGCATACATACCCTGCATCATCTGACACTACTCTCATCCTTCTAATTGAATGATGGACGAGAGGAGAGAAATGGAGCATTTGTGGAATGGGGATAAATGTCCACAGTCTTTATACAGAAAATGTGTGAGAACCACTGCTAGTTACACCAGCTGTAGGATACCAAAAGACCAAATTTATCTCATTTTGAAAGAAACTGACATTGTTTTTGCCATTAACAGATGATGAATGAGGTATTTTAGAGGTAAGCTTTCCTGTGAAGTGCCCTTCATGACATCCACTTGTTTTCTGGACAAAGAGATGTTTGTTCCACCTATCAATCAGTATCTGGGTCTACAAAAACACATCTCCAGGCTTCACCCACACACAGCAAGGGTGCTCAAAAAAAAGGTATAAAAATGCAAATAATTGGAAAGTCTTTAAATGAAGAGACAACTTGTGGATCTAGACATTGCTATTTCTTCTTCGTGATGTTATTTAAATCTCATTTCCAAAGTCCAAATGACATAAAAAGGCACATTACTACAATAGAAAGTAAGTGTAAAAACATAATGATTTTATGATGTATTCATATATTACTGCACATTCAGAAGGGATTCATTAGACCAGCAGCAGAGACAACAGGAAACAGAATGTTGAATATAAACATTGACAAAAATGTAAACACTGCAACAGGACGGTAGGGAAGACACTGAGGCAGCAGATCTGCATCATCGAAACTGGTTGAAAATCAAGCTACTCTATCAACCCGCACCGAGAGGTTTGTCTTCATCTGAATTCCTGGCATCTCACACCTCTCGCCATTCGCTAATGTCCTCTGAGGCCACGGCCTGCCTCACACAAGGAAGGAACTACTTTCTTCCTGAAACAGGTTAAGGTGCATGTGGGAAAGCAGATTTGCTAATGTTCAACCTTATTCACTTTTTCTGCCACACACACTTTTTTTTTTTTCCTAGGCAAGTGCACAACTTTCCAATTCAATCAGTGTCAAGAAAAGTGTTACAGCTCTCTCTCTCCTCTCTCACTCCGTCACATACACACCCTACAACCGCACACACTGACCACACACACATTTTCGTCACACCACTCTCTCTCTCTCTCTCTCTCTCTCTCTCTGCTTTACTCACAGAAACACACACACACACACAGGGTGCTGACTTTGTAAGTGCTCTTTTTACACTGTGGTGCTAACCTGCACTGATAATCACAGTTCAGATAATTGCATTGCGTTGCATCACTACATCACTGTGAATGAACAACCAGGCCACCGCAACACAGCCACGCTCAGACAGACACTGAGGGGGAATCTGAAAATATAACGCTGGGAGAGGCAGATCTGTTTTTAATACACAGCACAGCTGGGAGATGTATGAATTTAATCATAGGTATTGTGATACGGGAATGGATATAATGTGGGGTTACGCTCATTGTAAAACCAAAAGGGCTTAAATGTTGCAAAAATCATCTGAATTTATTTTAATCAAAGAAAATATCTCTAAATGTTAAATCTGCAAATGGATCCACTCAGCATAAAAATACAGCTACATACAATCATGGTATATATATGCCAGATTTTCATTCTAACAAGTTCTTTATGTTTTTCATGAATCAAATTACAACTCCTTCCAAAAAAAATCCACCCACGGCTCTGCATTCATGCCAAAAACTAATCACTTGTTTACTTCTTACCTCTTTGGTGGAGATAGTACGCAAGTGAATTCTTAGAGACTTCACATTTTTAATTTGCATGATGAGTCTTGGATTTTGCCTCAGGTTGGCCCTGGGTGTTCATGAATGAAAATAAAAATATTTTGAAAAAGTAAGTACCATACTCTTACCTTGCAAAATGGCCTTATTGGAAGGACAATGGGGGATTATAGCATGAACTATTGGCAATAATTAACTGCAATATTAACGTGGTTGCTAAGGTTGTAATTTCTAGGTAAAACAGCAGCAGGAGGACTCAAAGCGTTGTCATTTGTTTGCGCTGTCTATCTTTGTTTGCACAGTACTACTGAGCTTGTTATGATGTCAAGTCCCTTTATGGAAGTGGAATGAGGGGAGTCTGTTTTCTGACCAAAACGTGTAAACTGGAGTCAGTACAGTGCAGCACGCAATTTAAATGGTGTAATGGTGGAGACACATTACTCATAGTGGCACCTTTTGAGTGTTTAAGTGTGATTTTTTTCTGCAATGGTAAGATAATTCTATCCTTTTGTTTTTCTTTTCTTTAGGGTTAGGGTTAGCCCTAACCCTGTAATAAAAAGTAAGACCCTTTATAAGTTACAGTTAGCTCAGGTATGAGATTTATTTTTCATCCAGTGATTCAGTGGCAAACAAGTTCAAGTCTAACCTCCAGTCATGTGCAGGAAACCTTCAAAGCATTTTTTTTTTTTTGAAAGGCGTTAATTTGGGTTCTTTCCCGTTTTCTCTATTAAACTTCCATCAGTTTGCTATTACTTGCTTGATGGATTTAAACGCTGGTGCCAGCCTGACAGCATGTTAGTTAATGTTGTATAGTTGGGTTTAACCGTCCTCTCTCCATCCCCTAGTTGCTTTCATACCGCCGAACCGTAGTCAGTACAGCCCCAGCAGACCCTACCTTGTCCCCTCCAACGTTGACGGTGACATCTGGCCCCGGGGAGAGCGGCTCCTCGGCGGCGGACAGCGGGTGGAGGATCTCCGTGATGGGCTTCTGTCCCGAGCTGGCCAGGCCTCTCGGAGCGCCGACACTCATCCTGCGGGAGGCGGGAAGACGTGGCCGGGTATTGGGGGTAACAGCTGTCCGGTTCTCCGCGGCTGATACGGTGAGCGGAGACGGAGTCAGTGTGTCTTCAGATGAGATGTTACATCCGCTGGCTGGTCGTAACTGTCAGCTGACTCTCACTGCGCAGCTGCGGAGGTTAAACCCCAAGAACCCGGATGTAAACATACGCGTCACGTGACAACAATGAAACTCTAAAGATCGTCTACTGACACGATCAGGGAACTGTTAACCCTACTCATTTTTTTTACCAAGTTTATTAATATCACACATAAAAACGAAAAATTACATTGTAACACCATCTTAAACAACAGCCATTATGAATAAAATACGAATAAAAAACTAGTTACAAGCTTTGTTTCCAGAGCTTTCAACAATTTGTTATGATTGAAAGACTCATTTGAGATCTTACTGTCAAGCTATCTCCGTGACAACTGAGAACACTGCATCTGCCGATGAAGATCATGAGATGTAGCTGAAAAAATAGCAAGATATTAGGCCTAAGTAGACCATAAGATTTTTATTCATTTATTTATTTGTCAGTTGCACAGTCAGTTATGGTAAAATGTGAGCTTTATTTATGCTCTTAAATAAATACCTTCAGGTGGTTGGTTGAGCATAACTTAAAGTTTGAGAAACAATTTATGGTAAAGTTTTTTTGGTTTTTGTTTTGTTTTTTGGGCGGGGTGGAGGGGGGCATTTATTCCCATGCGCAAGCATATTTTCTTCTGACATCTGGACTGAACTGGACGTTTTGAGAGCTCATATTGCAGCAAGGCTGTTCACATGTTTTGGTTACCGGAAAAAGAAGCAGAGTGAGACATCGTCTTTCTAACCCTCCTAAAAACCGGTACTAGGTAACGAGGTAAAATGCGACGGAGAGTCCGCACACAATCGGCAGTTTTATCGTTATTTTAAACTTTCAGCTGCTGTTACATTGATGTACCTCAGTAAGTACTGTGTTACATATCCACCTCAGGTTTCAGTTATATTCATCATTCAGGGGGGCTTTTATCGTTGTCCGTTAAGTGCATGTAGCCGGGCGGAAGGAAACAGACAAATAAAACTTAGATAAACCACTAATAGAAACCTCTCAGTAGTTTGTTGTCTTCAACAGCGTCTTGCTACCTGCGCCGCCATGACTGCTAATCCTCCAGGACAAGGTAATTATTTATTTTTGGGCTAAACGATACTGGAATGGAAGTTCTTTGTCTTTATCAGTCAGTCTGTAGCCACCCCTGACTCCAGGGGCGGAACTACAAGCTCTGTGTCCCCTGAAGGCATCACAGCCTCTCTAGTTCCTCTCTCAACACTGACCCTCAATAGACACTTTACAACTTCACATCTCATCTCAGTGCTTTCAAGATTTGATGCATGAAAGATAAAGTAAATATGTAGTTGGTGTAAAAACTGTGGGGTAAAACTACTGTTAAAGTCTATATATCTAAAAGAAAAACTCTCAAAATTGAGTACCGATTCTCATTTTATATTACTAATCCTCAGTTAGCTTCTACTTCACTATTTCTTTTGACATTACATGAATCAAATTATGTAAGATATTCTGTGGCCCACTTTTGCTTTCACTTCTCGACCTCATCTAATTGTTTTTTCCACTCAGCCTTCCCAAACAAAACACGCGTGGCGATCCTGGCTGAGCTGGAGAAGGAGAGGAGGCGGCTGATGCAGAGTCAGTCCATGAACACTCCTGGGGCCAGGTACGGAACAGTATATAGCCATGGATGATAACAGGAGTTTTATGTCAGTCAAAACCTTGCAGAAACCTTTTTATGAGGGGAATTTAACTACTGATATAGTATGTTAAATATACATACTAATATAGTAAACAGTTAACTCAGCTGATATGAACAAACTTTGAGAGGTTAATATTATAGATATCTCTTTGCCCTCTTACACTGTAGCATCCCACTGTCCAGGCCAAGTCTGAAGGAGTTCAGGGACAACGCGGAACAGCAGCACATCGCTGCTCAGCAGAAGGCCGCCCTGCAGGTGAGACTAACAGAAATACAAATGCTGCTTCACAGCATCACAAGCACCTCACTAAATTAATATTAGAGGTTTTGTCACACTACTGTTATTAGTTAAAAAATTAACCTGCACTTAAGTTACCCATTCTCATTCTAAATATGTATTTCTTATGTTGATTATTATGTGGTCTTATTCAATTGTGGTTTGAATACCAGCTTGATACCAGTTACCAGCATGAATTCAGGTCTGAAAATAACTATTTTTATAAATGAGGTGTCATGGCAACATGAAGCATCTTACAAAATGAAGCCCAGTAACTGAAAGGTTATATGTTGCTTGATTAATCTTAACAAAAAGCAGAATGTGAAAAAAGCTAACTGCATTCAGCATAAAAACACAGATTCTTGTACAAATGAAACAAAGAAGAAATAAAGTGTGTCTTCTCTTGCAGCACGCACACACACACTCATCGGGCTTCTTCATCACTCAGGACTCCTCATTTGGAAACCTCATCCTCCCCGTCCTTCCACGCCTGGAGCCCGAGTCATGACCTTTCACCCCTGATCTTCCTCCTTGCTGCCTGGGACAAAGCTTTGAAATACGTGCACATCAGATCCCTGTCTCTCCCAGTTTCCTCTTTTAAGTCTGTGATTAATAGACAGTTGTTTGTCATCTTGTAAACAATCTCAGGGGAAAGTGAATCCATCATTTTTACATTTTCCAGACTAACAAGCTGGCTGCTGATTTTAGGAAAGCTTTCCAAACAGTCAGATTAGAGATTCCAGATCACTATGAAACATCCTGTCAACCAGGGATTAAAGGTGAACTCTAGATAAATACTGTAAATGTTATCCTGCTCTGCTGGCTATCACATGGATTTCCATAAAATGTACATTTTGTCAGGTTTTTTTACATTTGTAATTGATTTGTATTAATATTCGGATAATAAAATTGTTACATTCAATTGTAATAGCGCTGAATTTCAGCTTTCATTTTTTCAAATATAAAAAAAGAGAGCAGGATAGATAGCCTAAATAAATAGAAAAATGTGGCTGTTTTTTATCAATGATTTAAAATGACTCATGCTCAGTGTAAATGTGAACAGGGCTCTGCTCTGAGATGAGCCACAGGCTCCACTTGAATGCCTTCAATTGGCTTTTTTATACCATGCCCTGTTAATGAACAAAGACACATTGACTTGTTTAACTCCTAATACTCTGTTTTTGGTGGTTTATTGTAAAACAGTGGTCAGCAGCACACAAAACAACACACACCAGAATAAATACTGTATATTACCATGCATAAAAAACATTTTTTGAGTCACTGAACCTTGAATACTAAGCACAAGTTCCTCACTAGATCAAACTATTTACTGCAACCAATTCATTATAAACTGGTTTGAGTGACTGTTAGAGATCGCTTCGTGACGATGCTGCAGTGAAAATGAACCATGCTGGAACTTTGTTATGAATTCTGAGTTGTTCTAATTGCAATATAAAATAATGGTTCTGGTGACAGTCATACAGGACCTAAGACCACAAGCTTATTCTTTCCAGTCACAATTTTTCACGGCTGTTTCACAACTATACAAGAAGAAATCGTCTGGACAGGAGGCAGAAAGACCTTCAGTATTTCCACACCCACAGTAGTAGAAATGTGGCCAGCATGTAATGCAGCCACATGATAGGATAAGAAGTACATGAGATGATGAAAATGCTGGTACAAAAAAAATAAATAAATTACAGCAACCATGCGATATAACTCCTGGAATAAGCTGAGCATCACAGACTAAGATGGCACAGTATCTAACAGTACAAGAGGAGAATCCAAGGATGGGCCTTTCTCTGACCTGGTGATTTATGTTTGTGTTGGATTTTCTTTTAATTTGTACAAGACTGTGCATCGTAGGCCTCCGATTCAGTCACAGGGAGTCAGTCCGCCAAATACCTGTAACTATTTGTCACTTTGACACAATTGGCAGCAGTTCTCCTTTCGCCTTCATCGTTTTGATCTTGGCCTTAATGGTGTCATCCATCGCCTGTCGACAGCGGTGAGCATAATGCGCCAGCGTCTCCTCCTTCTCATCCCATGGTGCCAACGCATGAAACACCTCCGGAGCGGCCAGGCTGAGCTCGGCTATGGCCGCCGTGCGCGAGATCGTGTTGCGGTCCACCCCGACCCGGTCAAAGGCCACCTTCATGGAGACGCTGCGCCGAAACTCTTGCAGGGCGGCCATGTAGCGTGCTATCACACCCACCACATTTTTCACTGGAGAGGAGAGATACAGGGAAGAGTTCAATGAAAGAGACACATCAGAATATTAGTGCAAAATTTAGTCTCAATCATACATTATACTCTACGAGTCCTTATGACCCCAGTATGACACTGGTGTCAGTGTTACAGTGTTGTACATTTTCTTTGCTGTGTTATGTCCTTACTCCTGACTCTGGTGTTTTCTCCTTCCCGGCTCCTCTTGCTCCTCAGGGTCCTGTGATGCTCCAGAGGGTGAAGCTCCATTTCCTCGAAAGAGTCAAATAGTGTTGGCGAATCAAACCCTGCCACTTCGTCAGAGGAGGTCATGTTCGAACTTCCCGGGTCCGTCTGATTAGAGCAACGAGGCCACCTCTTCTCTAGAGTTAGAAATAGAAAAGAAGAGTAATGCATGTGTATAGGATTATTATTGGGAGTATATAGAAAATCATTTGTCAGTTGAGTTTAAATTTTTATTTTGTTTCCATTTTGATTTTGGTACTCATGCACTTCCACAGATTTCATGAAGATGTTTAATGTACTAATTTCCTGTTTACTGATTAGTATAATGATTTATTTAACTTCTTTTACCCCTATTGTTGTACTTTATCACAATTTTTTTTCTTACTGTTTGCATCTATTTTTGTATTTTCAACACTAATATGTGAGACAACATTTTTGCATGAAAGATACCACATAAAAATGAGCCTTGTGCCAACAAACTCCTGCTATTATTTTGAAAGCACACTGTAGGTGAATTTTCAAACCAAGCTCTACCTGGCCGCAGTCTGTCCTGCAGGAAGTCACAGATGAGTTCGGCTTTCTTAGTGAGTTCATGCTGCAGCAGCTCTTTGTCCTGCTTCAGACTGGAGATCATCTCTGTCATCTGCAGGTTACGGCTGCGTTCTGCACACAGTAACGCTCGCAGTCTCTCCAGCTCACTCTGGCTGCCTGCAGCTTTACACAAAGAATGACACAAATACAGCAGTAAACACAAGGACGCCAGAATACACACACACACACACACACACACACACACACACACACACACTGAGTAAGAATCAGTTTTCCTCGATTCAGGCACATCTGATGTCGGCCCTATATGATTTTCCAGGCCACTACAATCTGTACCTGCAGTCCTCTGTGTAGACTCTGTGATGGAGCTGCATCTCTCGGCTTGCTCTGCAGTCCCTCTCGTGCAGCTGCCTCCAACCAGCAGCTCCAGCTCTGGGTCCACTGACCCCTCACAGGCCAGATTGTGCCCATGCTGGGGCTGAGGGCAGGGTGGGAGTGGTTTGTTGGGCAACTGTATGCGAGTGAACTGAGAGTGTGTGCTTGTTGCCTGACAAGCCTGTGAAAAGTTGACAGCATCTGTCTCTGCCAACCCCATGCTAGCAACAGTGTCATAATCCTCTGCTGAGGTCGCTTCCTGCTTGACCTTTTTCCCCGCCGCCCCTCCTCCCGGTGCACAGTCTCTTTTTCTGGATGGGCGGGGCTCGTAGTCGCCATCCTCATCTGTGGCTGATGAATCACATCCAGCGATGTCAAACAGTCGGCTGCTGAACTCCTCCCCTTCTGATGCGGCTTCGCTGCAGGAGAGGTCACATGATGTCCTCGCTGCCACCTGAAAGGTAAGAAAGCCCACACAGGCTTTCACTAACATCACCTGAGAGCTCAGTGTAAATGAGTGTGAAACTTAAAGGGACATTCCTCCAATTTTGCATATGAAGTTCAGTTTACTCTGCTTGGGGAATACTGCTCAGCCTTTTTTTAAAGGCACAACATACCATGCTTCATGTATGGTATGTTTTGACACATTTTACATTTATGAAACAAATTGAAGCTCCTGCGATTTGGATATTGCACTTGGACATTACAATTATCCGCTTTGTGTCCACATTGTGATGTATTTCCTGTTGAAACAGAATGGTCTATACTTCACCTTATTTGGAGGACGGCCTCCAACAAACCTCTGTCCCTGGCCTGTCCCGGTATTCATTGAGCCTGCGCAGCTTTTGCTGTGGTCAGTGAGGGGCCAGTGGTAGGCGTGTCCGGCGCCACAGCCCCAAATGGCAACAGGGACCGTGCTGCTATGGGGACCGGGTTCTGGTGTCAGTAGATTAACATAAGAACCCCGGGTGAGGTGCTGCAGGCTGGGGATGAGGTTGCAGATGGTGCCGTGGCTGTGAGCCCAGCGGACGAGTTTACACAGACTGTCAGAGGTGGTCTGAACCAGGTCAGACATGTTAGAAACCTAGAGCAGAGAGAGAAAGGATAAAGTGTCTACAGCTGCTTGATACTTACTGTATGTTCAGGGTCAAGAGAAGATTTCTCAAGTTACAACTGCTTATTTTTAGGCTGCGGACAATTAGGCTATGTGGCCCAGAACTAAATAAATTCATGGTTTTCAGAACCAGACCTTCTGTGTTTTACTTTATTTTTTACTTTATGCATTTTTACAAAGGCTTAACATTGCCATGGAATCGGCAAAAAATTCTCAAATCTTTGTGTGTTGAATACAGGTCAGGGATGATTTGTATTTAAGTTTGTTTATTTATTCATGTTTTAAATTGTTTCATGTTTATATTTTTTGCATACACATTTAGTGGGTTTTAGACAGTACGCTTGTCCATAAAAGAATGTGCAATTAACTTGTAGCTCTTGTTTTACTTTAATTGAGACAAATGTATCCAGATTTGAAGGGCTCTTTTACTGTTAGGCTTTTGGTGTTGTCTCTTTGGTATGGATGCACAGGCGGGTTGAGGACCTGCTGAAGTTACTTTTGTAATTCAAGGCCTGCAATAGTTGCATGTTAGTCTTTCCATACTGTCAGTATTGGATTCTTAAATTCAATGTAGAATAGTTAGTGTAGATGAACGTGAAGGCAAGAAAAAAAAATCAACAAAATAAAGTGAACAATGATTAACATCACAATAATACAAATTTAGTCAGAAAACATTAAACATTGAAACATCTATATTTTTTTCTAAATATTTCTTTCTCTTTCTCTCTCTCTCTATCACGCATGTGCAAGCAGTGAACTGTACATGCTGTAACTCTCACTGTAAACTACAATCAAACCATCAGCGAGGACAAATCGTTCATCATCAGACATGTCTCTCATTTCCACAGGCAAACCCTAAGTCATCGGGGCACAAGAACAAAGCCCCTGCAGCCCATTTACATGTCTCATATTTACCTTCTTTTAATATTACAAATTAAAACCTTTCAGCTGTGAAGTCAAGGCAGGTTTCACATCATCACATCGTCCTCCTTCGTCCTTTATGAGTCTTCAAACTGAGACAATTATTGATGTCGTTGTGACGCGCATAATGTTTGATAAAATATCATGAATATCACATCATATGTCCAGCAGCTGTTTAATTATAACATTCTTTGTCTGGAAGGTTTAACATCACCAGAATCAAACATGAAGGTCGCTTTACTGCCATCAGCTGGACAGGAGGAGCAACTGCTGCCTCCCCCCTCACTGTGTGATGTACACTGACCTCTAGTGGTTGTGATGGAGAAATGCCCAATAAATATTATATTATATCATACCTTTGTATTCAATAAAACAGGAAATCTCAGGAGAACAAGTCTGTATAAAGGTTTGGCATTTACCCTGCATATTTTGAGGGAAAAGACAAAAAATAAAATTCAATTTACTAACATATAACTCCCTCATTGTTTTTTTTTTTTTAAATCCAGAAATTGCAGTATATGCAGCTGGAACTGCATTATGAAGTTTCTTTTCTGTCAGTCTTAGAGCATGTTTTTGAGTACACAATGTACATGCAGACAGTTTTCACATTCGTCTGCTGAAGGGGGAAAGTTTCTCTGTGCTCACTTTAAATCTGAGTGTACATACCAGACGATTGTGTGACATCATAACAGCTTTTAAAGCCACTCATAGCCCAATATGCAACTTACACATGTGATATGGTAATGTAAAACCTCCAGTGCACATAAATTGAGAATGGACTTTTCATAAGGGTAGGAAACATCTTGTGTTCAGACGTCATAATTTTGGAAAGGAAACATATTAGCATATTTATAGATTCTGGATTTTTCAATGAGGAGGAAGAAGCAAATGTGGTATTGCAAGTAAGAATTTATAAATAGTTCATTGAACCCTTTTCAGTTCAGTACAAATTAGGATCTTTGACCATACTGACACTTGAATGAATTTAATCTTCAAATGGGTCACTTCATTTGTGAGATAGTTACTGAAGGAAAGGAAAATCTAAATATAAACATGTATTAATCCCTCTGTCACTTGTAGGCTAATAAAAGTGTGTGTATCCTTTCCTTAAGTTACCTTTGCAGTTTACTTATAAGACTCTTACTTTGTAATATGTGAGTTGGATTTGCACTTGGGTAATGTAGCCCATCCAGTATTATGTTAAAGTCATTCCTTTAATTAATGTTATAGTAATCAAATGATAAACTTCTATGGGAAGAAATGAGGACATTTATTTCTAAGACCATATGCTTATTAAAGATGCATAGACACATAATTAGAGATCTCCTTCAGTTATATTTTATGACATACATAAATACTCTGCTTTGCATAACAATTTGGGTATTGTGGTTTTAGTTTACCTACATCTACTCCTTCTTCCTTATTGAGAAATCCAGAATCTGGGAATATGAAACTATTTCAGAAGTTAAACAGCTGGAAACAAGTGTCCTCTACCTCACGGAAGGGTCTACTCTCAGTATGTACATATGAAGTTTCAAGTTTCCTTATCATACTCCTATAAATTGCATATTGGACCATGACTATAATATTCAGATTAAAGGAGAGCACAAAGAAACTTTCCCTTCTTGCTCACTTCAAACTGCTAATACATGGGGATATAATTAATTACGACTTAGCTGCTGGTTTTGCGGCACATACAAAGATTGTCTATCCAGGCGATGACCTTATGTAACAGGACGATATAAGAACAACTCTGATGGGCCTTTAAAATGTGGTCAATGTGAGATTTTTCCATGTATGAGTTCAGTGACTTGACTGAACTTGCTGCTGGCTCCACCCTCCATTACTCAGCCAGTCTACTACGTGTTAGGACTGGTGCCTTTAACTTCCAAGCATCTCGGGGAGAGGACGAAAAAGTAGAACTTTACCCCGGCCCTTATCTGGAGCAGTAAACCAGCCGCTCAGCCGTCGCAAGTTCGTCAATTTGAAACTTTAACCGGCGTCTTCTCCTGCAGAGAAACTCTCCTGTAAAAGGCAAGTTTCATCTGCATTTTCCGACTTGGATTAAGTTCTGTATGGAAACAAATGATATTTGAACCCGCAGAGAGGAGCGGAGAGAGAGGAGGTGGGTGTCGGATACAAGACATTGTGTTTCTGTTCTTGTTCTTTTATACACGGATCTCGGATACCAGGCCTGTTTGTTAACAAAAAGTGGGGCAAAAAAGTGGAGAAAAATCTTTTTTGCTGTCGCTGCTGCCGCTGCGTGAACTAAATCTCATTCAAGTTCCACAGAGATCTTAAAGGTTTAATCCGGAAAGAAAAAACAAGTTTCTTGAGCGAAAAACAGGACACAGACACAGAAAAACACACAAGAAACACAAGTGATATTAAAGTTATGGCGTTGAAGGCCAGAGTGTTGTACGACTTCCACTCTGAAAACCCAGGGGAGATCTCCATAACAGAGAATGAGCTGGTGACTCTGTTCAGCGAGGAGGAGCTGGAGGGCTGGCTGGAGGGGGAGAACAGCAAGGGGCAGGCTGGCCTCTTCCCTGCCTCCTATGTGGAGATCATCAAGGACCACATCACCTCCAACACTAACAACAATGGCTTCTCCTCGCCCAAAAAAGCCATGCCACCTACCCAGACCTCCTTCGCATCCTCTGACTCCCAGTGTCAGAGAGGACTTGGGGCCAGTAGCAGTGGTAGTGGAGGAGGCAGCTTCCACACCAGTCAGGGCAGCGATGACGACTGGGACGACGACTGGGATGACAGCTCTCCTGCTACCGACGCACCTCAGAGTCTTGGTAGCACTCCCCCTATGTACCCGGTGACCACCTCCTTGCCTTCGCGGCGTGGGAGTGCCCCGCAGCATCAGCAGCATGCCAAGAGCTCGGCCACGGTGGGGAGGAACCTCAACAGGTTCTCCACCTTCGTCAAGTCCGGAGGGGAGGCCTTCCTGCTCGGTGAGGCCTCTGCGTTTGTTAAGGATGGGGACAGGATCTGTGTGGTGATGGGGAAGCACGGGCCTGAGTGGCAGGATGATCCGTACCCGTTCACCTGCACCATTGACGACCCCACCAAGCAGACCAAGTTCAAAGGCATGAAGAGCTACATGTCCTACGGCCTGACCCCGACGCACACAAATGTACAAGTCAACCGCAGGTACAAGCTCTCCTCCTCCTCTTCCCTCTCTAGGAGCTTATTTCCTCACCGGATCCTCCAGCCCCCATACTCTTAAAATGAATGTTTCATTCCTGTGGCCACAGTTTTCCCCACAAAATAGCAAAAACAGAGTCAATTGGACTTTTGCCCGCTGGAGTCCTCAGAAATCTCCACTTTCCGCTCTAAGATTCCCTCTGCACCTTTCAAATTGTTTTCCTGTCTGTAGGTCTGTCGTTTCAAATCAACATTTACTCACTTACATCTCAGTTTCCACTTGGCCCCGCTGAGAAAACGTTCTGCGTTTCCCTTTCCTCCTTCTTTTCCTCTCATTTCCCTGCCATTTACCTCACTTCCTAATCTCCCAAATTCCCTCTAACCCTTTCATGACCCCCCCCCCCCCCCCGCCCCCCCCCCCCCCTCCCCCCCCCCCCCCCCCCCCCCCCCCCCCCCCCCCCCCCCCCTTCTTCCTCCATCCCTGCAGGTACAAACACTTTGACTGGCTGTACGCTCGCCTTGTGGAGCGTTTCCCCGTCATCTCAGTGCCCCACCTGCCAGAGAAACAGGCCACCGGACGCTTCGAGGAGGACTTCATCTCCAAGAGGAGGAAGGGTCTGATCTGGTGGATGAACCACATGATCAGCCACCCTGTGTTGGCGCGTTGTGATGTTTTCCAGCATTTCCTAACATGCGGAGCAGATGAAAAAGCATGGAAACAGGGCAAGAGGAAGGCGGAGAGGGACGAGCTGGTCGGTGCCAATTTCTTCCTTACGATCAGGTAGGGGTGTGGGTTTGAATCCTTGATCAGACTCTTTGTTTTCATTACAAACTTATATAATTAGAATAAAAAGCATTGCATGTTTGAATAAACTCAATTTAACAGATGTTTCCAGCTGTGACTTCCACACCCTATAATATAACGAGTAACTGTTGTGGACTTGAATTTCAGAAATGTTTAATTGATTTGAAACACCAGGCTTGAGTGTGTTGACACTTGCAGAAGTCACAGTGTTCACCGGCCATCAGCAGCCCTCACATACAGATGTCTGTTGTAGATAAGCGTAGAGGCCGACATCTACGCAGTTACCAGCAGAAAATAGAGCAGAATACAGTGCTGCTACAGCCCAGATGAGGTCATCACCCAGTCACCTTCTTAATCTTATCATGGCCACCATCTTATCATATAGTGGTTGTCATCACTATGACATGCTTGCACTACATTTATAACCCAGTACTGAGTGCATTAAGGTCTGGTGCATTTGCAGGAGATCATAAAAGGCATGCTGGGAAATGTAAGTAATCAACTAGCTGAAGTAGGGGTATAAAGATGTGGCTGGTTGAGGCATAGAGTGTATACGAAAACAATAAAATTACAGCACTTAACATAATGTTCCAAATGTTGCATATTGATGATGAACAAAGGGATCAACGGAATAACAAGAACACTCAACATTATAATGCGTTCCTTTTTAACTGTCCTGCAGAAAAAAACTACCTTTTTGAAGCTTTGAATGTCATAATTTCGTTTCGTTGTGTCAATGACGTAGAAATCAAGTTTGTGGTGTTTGATTACATCATAGTTTATTTGTCCACCCACTTTATAACGGTATAAAAGTAACCACTGAGTATATTTGCCCTCCAAAAAAGACGCTGTTATCAGTTTTCCTTGTTTCAGTAGGCTGTAAGTAAAGGCTTTCATTACTGGGAGTGTCTGATTGTGAAAGAGAGATAACCAGAACAGAAGAATAATCTGCTCTCACTTGTTTGTGTAAAAAAAAAAAATGATGTAATGTGTGACTTTCAAAAGAAAACCACAAGGTCTAAACAGACTGTTTCTCCCCCTCACATTTCTCCCTCAGCACGCCTGCTGTCCCTCTGGACCTCCAGGAAGTGGAGAGCAAAATCGAAGGCTTCAAGACCTTCACCAAGAGGATGGACGAGAACATCGTTGTCGTGAACACCACCATCAACGAGTTCGCCCGCAAACAGATAACAGGGTTCAAGAAGGAGTATCAGAAAGTGGGACAGTCCTTCAAACTCCTGGCTCAGTCATTCGAGCTGGACCAGCAGGCCTACTCAGCGGGCCTGAACAAGGCCATTGCCTACACTGGAGAGGCCTATGAGGCGATAGGAGAATATTTTGCTGAGCAGCCACGCCAGGACCTGGATCCCATTTCTGACCTGCTGGACCTCTACAGAGGACATCTGGCCAATTTTCCTGACATCATCCATGTACAGAAAGGTGGGAAAGTGTGTGTGTGTGTGTGTGTGTGTGTGTGTGTGTGTGTGTGTGTGTGTGTGTGTGTGTGTGTGTGTGTGCAAGCAGTGACAGTAGCACAAAAAATGCATTAAACTCCCACATGCTTGCAAGAAATCAATCAGATGCGGGACCTAGCATACTCCTCTTCACAGGGAAGTTAGCTTCAAGTGGAGGTGGTAGGGACTGAGTGGTCAGGACTCTTGCTCATGGATGCCTCTGTAGGGTGGAGGGTTGCAGACATGAAGGGTTTGAATCTAGGCCTCTCGCCATCAGTTCCCATGCAGCAGTAAAATTCTGTGAAACAAGAGACTCACAGTTGTATTTATTTAACTTGCACTAAAAAAAAAAAATTAATGATGCTTCTAAAAGCCATCCAGCCCGCAGCCTCCCTATCTATTAATCATGTCAATATAAAGGCAGAGAATATACAAAGACCCAGATTCTGACTGTTTCCTAACCAAGGGCAACATCTGTTTTCAGTTACGGAACTGCAGTGTCAATCTGGGTCGAAAACTGAAACCCATGGTCAGTCCATTGTAACGCTCTGGGTACTGTGAGAGCTTGTACTCGTTCATTTGCAAACACACAGAAACACACACTCACACAGTCATGTACAAAGGACTTGCAGAGGAGTTAGCTTGTTAGTTCCCTGCAGGTTGGGAGGAGGGAGTTGCTCCTGGCACACAAAGTCCTGACGTTTGCCAAACCTAGAGGCACTGTTTCTATAGTCCACTGAGCTCTGTTCTCTAGATACAATCACAGCTCTGAACTATGGAAACACTGCTTGAATCCCAATGGTCTCTGAGAATGACATGACTTCACCCACTTTCTGATTGACAAATAACACTTTGTTTAATGCCCCCCCAAAGAGCACAAACATCTAAGAACATGAACATCTCCATCACTTCTGGTACACTGAAACACACTGTTCCTACTATAAATTTGGACTAAAAAACCTTTCTGGACTTGCATAATATGGGTTTCTGTGGAACATGATCTCATGGGAAAATTGTGTTGATTTGTATTTTTACTATAAGTAACATGATGAAAACTCATCACGACTTCATCTTAATTGTGAAAACTGACCCCGAACGTCACCAAACTGATCTCATGGAATTCAAAGTAATGTCACATGATAATGCATCATTTCTGCTGTCATAGGATATTATACAAAGCATTGTCATCATTATTCTTGCGTATAGTAGGATGTTCATTTCAGAAAACCTTAGTTACTTGTGCTATATGAGAAAACAAATGTGATTCTGGGTAGGGAGGGGAACAGCAATCTTTCTTCTGTCTGTTTTTTTATTTCAAAAACACAGATTGTATCCCAACGAAAAAAAAGAAAAGAAATATACTTGGATCCTCACCCAAAGCTAATCATTAGTTAGCCCAACTCGCTGCCAAATTCCCTTGAAATCTGTCAAAAAGTAGATATCCTGATTCGTGCCACTTAAAGAAAAAGACCAAAATCATATTGTGACTAAATGATTGCAAGTGCATTGATAAACAAGTTTACAAAATTACACAAAGGGAATCGTTGCCTCAGATTTCAGTCCAGGCTGAAAGCACAGACTCTGAGTAATCCACCACTGCTGTCATAGCAGAGCCTGCTGAGTAACACCCATGAACACATCCCCACAATGCAAACTCTGCACTGCTGTCATAGTTGTAAAATAGCTATCTTTAACACAAGATGGCCCATTTAGTCACAGTTTCCATAACAGTTGATTTGGTGAAGGGCCGTCATTAAGAGAAGGCTTAGCTTTTTTCTAACATAATAAACAACTGGGGGTTTATTGCACTCTTTTGACTCAGCACATCAAATGAAACTAGACTCCAGAAGACATTAACCTTCATTCTTCTCTCAGCAGCTCTACATTCCACAAATATCCATCTATCTCACAGAGGACCGAACTATTTCTCCAGTAACAACCCAATTGCTCTGGCACGGCAACATCTCGGCGCATAAAAGCTAGAAAACAGCCGCTGGGACACCTAAGACGGACAGCTTTGTTGACCTAAATGTCCCTGTACAGTATCGTCCATCTTTGCTAGTTCTGTCTGTGAGGTCCAAGGTCTACATCTGATTTGAATGAGCGGAGATTCCTGGGCCTCATGTCCTGTGTTGCCCTGGGACTGCAGGAATGCAAAATGGAGCGGTTTCAGGATTAGTTTCCCCTCCTCCTCTTTTCTTCTCCCTCTTTTCCTCCTTCCTCCTGGTGGTTGAAGAGAAGAAGGAAGAAGAAGAGGGGAGGGGTGTGTGTGTGTGTGTGTGTGTGTGTGAGAACGTGGTGTGTGAGGGGGGCTCAGATAGCTACAGAGCTGTACAAGTTTCCCACCAGCCAACGGTACAGGAGTTCAGATTACAGCTCCATAATCATCTTGGCAGCAAGGAGAGCAAAGTCCAAGTTGATTTCAGTTCACTAGTGTGCTTGTGCCGGTATGTGTGTTTTCCATGTGTGTGTAAGATGGAGAGAGAAATCTAGAAAGAGAGAAGGTTGATGAGGTGAGGAAGGAGAGTTGTACCAGGCTACATGCTGGCTCGTCATTTCCTTCACATGCTGCGATGTCAGAGAGCGTCATACTGTGTTCCTCTTCATCTGTTTTTCATAGGTAATGTCTGTCCTAGCTGTACTTCCTCCGAAAGTTTAGTCACATTAACTAGATGTTCTGAGTCATATCGAGGCGTTGGGAAACTTCAGGCAAACTGGGAAAAAAATTGCAATAATCAGCTCTTTTATGTATGAAAAAAATGACACTTGTTCAGCTTGGAGAATTTAGAGGTCAAATCTTCCTCTTCTTACTTTTTAATAGTAGGTTTTACAAGCTTATTATTTGGGTTAAAAAAAACTTTGCCTTTTACCCTTTTCATTTCCTCTTTCCTTTGAATCTCTTCTCAATTCCTGATGTCACTTGTGGGCTAGCTGCTAGCTAGCTGTGAATGCTCTCTCATTGAACATTGCTTTCATCTGTATTTCAGAAAAAGTGATTGCACTTTACTCTCCATACTGTAAGATAAATGAATATAGATCTGCAGCCCTTCATATTCAATTTTAAACCCTTCATAACAACAATTTACAACAAAGCCAACAACAGTTTATTTGTTAGCATTCAAATAGCGGTAGCCAGCCCAGAAATGTGCTTATTATACGTCATAGGCCTTTTTCACAGAAGATACTTCATTCGCAGTAGAGAAGCACCCTATGACGGTCAAAATGTCTGCTGTAAAAACTGTCCATCTGTTTTAACCGTTCCCCCCATGTTGATCCACACTTGCTTCTTACATCTCTCAACTTTTTAGGTAAATTTGCCGTCCTCCAAAAAATGTTTCTTCAAGAAATGGTTTGACACATATGCTTATTCACTGTCTTGCAGAGAGTTAGACGAGCGCATTGATACCATTCATGTCTATAATAAAGCCGCAGCCAGCAGACGGTTAGCTTAGCTTAGCATAAAGACTGGAAGGTGGAACAGCTAGCCTGATCCTGTCGAAAGGTAACAAATTCCCCTACCAGCACTTCCAAAGCTTAAAGAGTCAGGCCTTGTGCTATATGTTAAATTCTTACAAAAAACAAACATGAATAACAATATTAAATCAGTTTTTGAATTTTGCCATCCCTGTCCAGACAAACAGTGAGAACTACTTGTTACTGCAAGGTTATATTTCAAGGCTGCATTTTTAGTTTTTTCCTCATCACAATGTCGAAGTGATTTTGAAGTAGGTTTTTTTCACCTAAAAGAAATCATGAGGTCTAATTTATTTGTACACATTGTACACCTGCCACACTTTTTCAGTCTTCTCCTTCTCTTTCCCTCCTTCCTTCCCTCCCCCCTTCCAGGTGCACTGACCAAGGTGAAAGACTGTCCAAAGCAGGAAGGTGAGCTCCACAACCGCTGCAACATTATTTCCTGCGCCACGCTGGCGGAGATTCAACACTTCCACCGCACACGTGTACGGGACTTCCGCTCGCAGATGCAGCATCACCTCCATCAGCAGATCAGCTTCTTCCAGAAGATCACAGCCAAGCTGGAGGATGCGCTTCAGAGATATGACGATGGCCAGTAGGAAGAGAGGGAGAAGCTGGACTACAGAGGCCATTAAGAAGTGGGGGGAGGCCTGAAGAGGGAAGCAGACAGGGTTGATTGATGGATTCATCCTGTAGTAATGGAGAACATCTTAGCGACCTGTAAGAGAGAAAACCTTTGAGACTTGTGTTGTCATGGATTCTGGGCATGGTATGAGTGTTGGCAGAAATATACCACTCTGTAGATAAATATAGGCCACTGCACTGTGGAATGATGACAACTTCTTGTATTATCTGGACAGCTCTGATGAATGTACCAGTAACAGGGATTTTACTGGCGCTCCAGGCACGTCTTGCATCTCAGCAGGACTGCAGATATTAAAAACAGCTGCTCTATATATGACGGGGCTGCCTCTCGTTTCCTGGTTTGAGGGCCTCACTACTTCATGGAAACCCTCCATCCGGGAACACGGTAACCCAACACAACGTACACAGATATGAAATTTCCTAAATTGCTTAAACTGGATCTTTTAATGATCGAAGAATCCGTTATCGCTAAACGTCATTGTTTTTACTTGAATTACCTGTTCAGTATTGGTTTTGATGGAACGTGACAAAATTTGATCGTTTGTGAATATGGACAGAGGCAAAGTGGGCATATTCTACTCTGCTGATTCAGTTTAGTTGTTAGATTTTTATTACAGCTTGAAATTTGAACTACTTCTGATGTCTAACATCTCTCATACAACTCAGATGGTCTGTCACATCTTTACTACATTGAAGTCTCAAACCCAGTGTTGTTCGTGCCTTGCCGGACGTAAAACAATAGTGGATTGAGTTCAGCCTGGTCTTATTTTTCTGACTGACTGACTGCTTGTTCTGAGAAGTCCCCAGTTCTTCTTTTTTTCTTTGGGATGTTTGACTGAAATCATCTGTCTTTTTGCTTTCCCTCAGTCAGAGGTCAGAGGTCAGGCGCAGGGCACAGATACTTCAGTGTTTCCTGGCGTGGAAGCTTTGAACCCATGTCTTCCAGTTTAAAGCCACTGTGTGTTGACTTTTTATGTGATTATAGTACATTTTAAATTCTTCTGCAGACATAAATTTTTTATAACAAATGTCAGACAATCATGGTGAAAAATGTGGGCAGTCACTGTCTAGCTTTTAGCCCATTTATGTCAGTCTCGCTTAGGTGGATCGGCGGCAGATGTTGTTCTCTCCTCTACCACAGTGTCTTTTTTTTTAATATAAACTTCCACTTGGGGGCGCCAAAGTCAGAAATATTTTGTCTACATATAGTGGCTTTAAGTTTGGTTTCTTTACTCTTTATGCTAGCCTGCTACTTCAAAACATTTTTTTAAACCAATCAGTAACCAAAATAAGCACACAGAACTGTTTGTTGTGAGTCCCCAGTTGATTACAGTATTTTTGTGGTTAAAGTATACCACTCTCTCTCTGTGGTAATGAATAAAAATAAAAAATACCTACAGCCAGAAACTTTTTGAATAAAAGCTGATAAAAGCTTAATATAATCAGCAAGGGGGCCCAAGATGAGCACTTATCAGACAGCCAGAGGGATGTTCATGATGTGGTAAATTTAGCCAATATGCTCCCAAAGGATAAAGGAAAGAAACAGATATTGATCGATAATTGAGATAATAAACTGAATGCATTTCAATGGTTTACACTGTAAACATATCTAGTGCTGTCAGTTTTCCACTCACATAGTATTTCTGATAAATGTTTCAATCGCAGGTGTGACATGACATTCCTTTCCTGGGAGATTATTTTAAACATTTATAATAGTGGGAGCCACCAGCCTGGTTGTCATAATTTACTATGATGAAAATGTTTCTTAACACTTTTGATGTAACAGTGGGACAGCATTTCAGTAAATACATGAAAGTAGAATGTGTTTCAATCATTTAAATCCACACAGGCTTATTGTTGACTGTTTTCCTGAAATATAACTTATAGTTTCACTTGGCCTGTTTTGTGTCTTTAATTAAGTCTTTTTGTGATTAGTAATATTTTGCTTATATTCCAGGATATTCTTTATTTTTTGCTGTCACATGTAAATGCCATAAACACTGTTAACCAAAATCAGAAAAAGCCCTGTTCTGATTAAGAAACATCCTGATTTGCTATTAAAACCCAGAACACCACAGACTATTGCTAACATTTCTAACTTCTAAAGTTAGAAATGTTACTAACTTTCTAACTTTCTAACTTCTAAATTTATTTATGTTTATTAATTTGTGTAAGAATAAATGACAAAATCCACATACAGTGTTGTATTTAAAAGGTTATTACACTAGACAATAAAATTAAAAACACAGTGTCACTAAGGGCATGACAGTGCCACACAAATCCTGCTGCAGTAGACTTCAGATCAAGTTTGAGTACTAATGTCATATCAATCTGCAATGGAGAAGAGCTTAACGTCCGTCAGGTCATAAAATCACTTTCTCACTTTGTTGTTAAAAAGCCTGGAGTGCCATCTCTCCATACTTTGTACAAATTATTCTAGAAATATGATTTTTGTTGAAGTTCGGCCAGTGTGAAAGAAATGTGTTCTATATTCTGTGTTGTCAGTGCAATGAGAAGCATGTTATCACTTGTTTTTACTGCGTAGGCAGCAGCAGTCCGATCCCTGATATCTGACACCAGAGTTCACAGACTGCAGGTCAGGTTACCGCAGCCGCAGGCCCTCCATTATTTAGACTTGCCTCTTTGTCATCTCCTCTTTGTTTGCATTTTCTTATTCTTTTGTCTTTGACTGTTGCATGGCTCCGCTGGCTGAAGCCTCCTTATGCAAGTTACATACAACCTAGAGGTGGGTTTATGTAACCGTCACACATTTGTTGGTTGTACTGATTTCTTTGTTTTTAGATACTCAGCTTGTAACGTTCATTGTCAGTCAGCAGATGGACAGCTTGTTGCTGTTGGTCTTTAAGAGCGCAAAAAACAATATACGAAAGGAGGATTTTGGATCCTCTGTCTTAGTTGCATTTATGTGTTTTAGTTGAACACACACAAGTCTTTATGAAATATCTTTATTAAAAATAAATCTTTCACAGTGCATGGCAAACATATGCAGGCATAAAAAGGAGTTGAAGTCAATCCACAACTGAGAAAGTTACCTATGTCTTCACATCTTACTATGAATTGTTAATAGTGTACAGCCTATCAGAAACAGTTATGTGAGGACTCGCAGCCTTGAGCTGCAACAAAATCACACAAAGAAAATGGAAAAGTGCAGAATAGTGAAGTGACACCAGTACATGTGCGAGTGGTAAATGTTATAAAAAATAGTTTGGACTTTGAAGCTTACAGCACCTTCAGTTGCATGTACAAACAACATTATCTACATTGTCTACCAGCTGACATTCAAGGTTTTGAAGAAGTAACACATCAGCTCTTTACAGTTAAAAGTTACAATATTGTAAGTGAGAAATGTCAGGTACCAGCTATTCTACGAACTCACATTTGATCTAACTCGAAATTCAGCGACATTAAACCTGACAATTTATAGTAACTGCCGTAAACCTCAATCTATGTTTCACTTCTGTGTTCAGCAACGGTTCCACAAATATAATGCTATCTTCAGCCATAGAGAAGTTAAAACTATGTAGTCTTCTCAGGAATCACTACAAGACTACGGTTACAAAAAAATTATTTTTGCATAAGGGAACTAGTGGCGGTTGTTCTCATGTCATGCCATGGCAGAAACTGAAATACCTTGAAATGACAAAAGCAAACATCAGCCTAAGTAGCAATAATGGACTGTGTTTCCTTTGAATAATGTCTTACACCTCCTACACAGCTGGGTAATGTCTTACAAATGAAACAGCACTACATCAAAAATGTGTTCAGTTCAGGTTGGTTCATTGAAATGACTTAATTTATATTTTCTACAAACAATTTCTACAAATGTGCACAATTTGCTCTTTTATAAAAAGTTCATAGTAGATCAGATGTACCTTATGACCACAAATGTCCCCTAGAGAGTAGACATGTGCCATGTATAGCCTTCACACCAAGAATACACCTCTAAGGCACAGTTCTTCTTTGAATTACCTCCATCAAACCCAGTACTGGTTGTCTTTAAGAGTTGTAGTAGGGGATGTAGATCCCACAGAGGTCTTGAATCCTGCTGTAACAGCTTGGAGTGCATTACCACATGTTACATTATCTCTTTCAATACCTATGCCACCTCTAATATTCCCATCGCCACCTGCTCCATCAGCTTCAAATGGCCCCCAGAAGGTCATCCCAGGGGCCAGACTCCTCCTCCTGGGACTTAGGGGTATCCGCGGTGAGGTAGGGCAGCTTGCAGGGCCAAGAGGGGTGACTACCACAGATGGCATCGCCACACTCCGCTCTGGCCGGCCCAGGTAAGGGCTGCCCTCGGTGGGTAGCTGCACTGCAGCGAGCTCCTGGATGAGCCGCATACGGGCCTTCTCCTTTCGGTGGCGGAACACCAGAATCAAACTCACGAGAATAATGATGAGGAGCAAACAGGCCAGCAGTGGCAGGATAATGAGGAGGGGGTCGGAGGCAGGGCGAGGGAGGACCTCCACGTGAACCAGGTGGGTGTCAGGAGGGTTAGCCGGACCGTGATTGTTTAAGATAGAAGGAGGGTGCGGTTGTGGAGCGTGGCTGTGACCCCCTCCAGCTCCCTCTGGACCACTCCCTGATCTTCCTCCATGACTCCCACCGCGTGTGTGGTTCCCCCAGCGACCGTGAGGCCTCAACCTGTGCTGTGTCCTGTTGTGGTTTTTATGTGACAAAATGTGGGGGTGCAAACCCTCCTCAACCCTGCTGTGCGTTGTGGATCCCCCTCGTCCACCTCCTCTTCCTCCTCCAGTAGTAGTCCTATTATGTGTCGGTAGACGGGTTGTGGTGTGTTCGCGACTTGCACCATCTGCTTTAGTTACAGCACCCAGACCGTGATGCATCTGGTGGTGGGGTAAGATGGTAAAATGAAGCTCACCCTTCGCTGGTTGGACATTACCAGCCCTCACCAGGAAGATGAAAGAATCATTGAGAGGTCTGGCGGGGGTGTGGCCTCGAGCTGTTGTGGGCACTGATTTGTTATCATGGAACTGGTTGTCACCATCACTGAGAGTCTCCTCGATGGCGACTCGGCCTTGCACCACATCTCTGAACGTAAAAGACTTCAGGACCTCGGATGCTTGGTTAGGGTCATAGGTTATCTACATAAATGCACACACAGGCACAGACACACAGCAGAGGAGAGAGTAAACTGAAATTAGATGGTAAGAGTGTAAAGTCATAAACCACTATGGTTATTGAAGTGATCCATTGTATACTGTTCTGAATGGGGTAATCACCTTGTAAACATGCATGTTTTTGGCACTGGTAGTGAGGAAATTTATTAGAAAAACCACCTTGCCTAAAATCTGATATTAAAAATTGTGAAAACCACAAATATGACTAATTTATTTTCGTAAATTCTAATTGCTAGCTAACTAGCGAGCAGCCATTTTGGTGTGACGTCATTGCCTACGTAACGGGGTTGGTTGGGTGCGTTGGCCAGTGAAGACAGTGAAGCATTTCTGAACCGAGTTAAACTGGAAATGGAGGGATTAATAACGTTATCTATCTCTCTGTCTAACCCAAACCCATCCATAGGTACATAGTTACTAGAACTAGTTTTTATAGTCATCTGTCATGAAGTGGCGTTATTGCAGTCCAGGACCAAAAGAGGGCTCCAGTACAATCTGCATAGTATCTAAAATACGTAAATTTCAGTAAAAGGCGAAACATTTCCTTATGCATAAATATATTATTCTGCCTACTGTCGCTACTATTGGTTCATATTGCTGAATTATTATTGTTATGGTTGGTCATGAATAAAACCAGTGCAGTAGCGAGCAGGCAGAGCGGACATCGGTCAATCAAAAATGCGTATTTTGTTGTGAGCCAATTCCGGTGTGGTTAAAAAAAACAAACAAAAAAAAAAAACAAGTCAGGTCTCCAGCGGTTTCCTGGGTGGACGGTCAGACACTTTAGGTTGAAAAAAGTAAGAATTGCTCCAAAAGTTAATTATTGTGCGTTTATGTTGGTTCGTGGTGGGTACGATATTTTTTTTTTAATTTGCCACTACACATGTGTGACGGCTTTTCGGCAGTCGGGCCATGTGAAGGAAAAGCTAGCAAAAAAACTTTATTGCACGCATTGCAAGAAGAAACAAGATAATGGTGAGGAAGATAACGGAACTTTGGATAACGTCTGTGGATTATAACGTTTGGAGTATAATGTCTGGAGTGTCTGAAGTTACCGACTATTGGAAACGGAGTTACGTAAGAAATATTTCTTAGGAAGTTTGTATCAGCTGTGACCTCTTGCTGAGGCATGTACCATGTATGGTGTGGAATGACGTGAGTTTTAGGTGAATACTTTCAGGCCCGAGTATTTTTAATGGTTGTGGTTTTAATTTCTGACAGTCATTTGGGCTGCTATATTGTACAGCCCAACTCTCATCAGTTGATGCTGCAGAGATGCTATGGAAATCTTTAGGCTAGGTGACGTGCGTCGGACTGTGTGTCAGGGTGAGGGGACATCAGGTGTTCATGAGTGCTGCTGTTTGGAGTGAAAGAAGTGTTCAGTGAGAGCTAGAGAGACTCTCACAGAGACTTTGTGGAACTTTATTGCAGTCAATAATGATGTTCATCTCAAACAGATACCAGTACCTGCCGACTTATGTGGGTTGCTACCTGTCTCTTCCCTGCCTGGCTAGCGCGGTTTAGCGCCCTTTCCCTACGGAGGACTGATGCCTCTGCACCGCTGTTGTCAGAGTTTGTAGGCCGGTCAGTAGAGTACATATTATAGGCGGTGAAATTGAAAACAGACGGAGCAACTTCAGGCTTTAGTCTGTTGGTCCGGCGAACAACTAGTTTGACCGACTCAAAGATCTTGTCCTCTAGGTAATCTTCATCCAAAAAATGTTCACTGCAAACCCTGGAGTTAGTGCCCATCGGTGGGCTCTCTCTCTTCAGTGCCGCCAACCAGCGCAGCAGGACTGCTCTTCGTTTCAGCGGCAGTTTATGAAAATGGACAGTTTTGTCCTTGGCTTTAACTCTGTAAAACTCATTTTTACATCCAGGAGCGATACAATAGTGGCCTCCCTTTTGTCTTCTCCTGTCCTGTGGCTCCTCAGTCTCCATCCTTTCACTATCTTCAACTATTTCACTGCCTCAACCGCCAAGCCAACCAACCCCGTGACGTCACAGGTTATAGTGCTGCAAGATGGCGCCACTCTTGCTACGAAAGATGTAACGGATCTTATATTTTCTCTTATATGTTTACATTTGTCATATTTGTTATAAAATTGTTGATTAGAGTGGAAATCCATTTAGTAAATCACGTTAACTTGATTGACTGCTTCATTTCCACTTTAAACTTTCAACCAGAGAGAATTATATGTAAATATTATATCTAAATGAATATGAAAAACAGCTGCATCTTCCTTGAAACCTTATCAAAAGATTACCATGAACAGTTTTACCTTGACCAGTTTTCCATGTTTTGGTGGAGACAGAACCTCAAAGACCGGGTCAGCTCGAGTGATTCTCGCCAGTTCAGAGGCATCGATCATGGCTTTCCCCAATTTCACGGCGATACCACTGGGTACTCTGACCGGCTCCCTCAGGTAGATCAGAGGCCGCACAGTTACCTTCACTGTCTGTGCTGTTACATTTCCGTAATCAACACCAGATGACGAGGCTGACACAGAGATTTGGAAGCTATCCTCTGATTCGCTCAGATCAGTCATGTGATAGACAACGCGACCGAACTGCAGGTCCTCGTGGCTGAAGGTCATGACCTCCTGGTCGTCAATAGCGATGCGTCCGTGGCGAGGGTGTGTGGCGACCGTGTAGGTGATCTTGGCCCGGCTACGACCATTGGTTTGAGCTGCCAGCTGGTTGGTTGTGAGGACCACAGCACTCCTGCCTTGAACCAATGACAGGCCAGTGTTGTTCACCATGGAGACAGAAGGCTTAATCACCTCCAAACTAAACAGTTTGTAGAGTGGACGGTGATAACCGTCGGTTACATTGAAGTAGAAAACTCCTGTCAAGGGCTCACCCTGATGGAGGGAACAGAGGAATCAGAATATATTCATATCTCAAGCTGGTTTAACATCTCCACAAGTTCATTTTCACACCACACAAAATTTAATGGAAATCAAGGGCTACCTGATATTAAATACAATTTGAAATCTATGATCTAATTGACTTTAAGATACATCCATTTCCGTGTCACCAATTTTTGAGACAAGACTTTGGTGACAAATGATGTAGTGGGGAATTAACAAAAAGTGGATTTCAAAGCCCATATGTGTAGCATTTGAAGGCGTTTGTCTTTGGCGACCCCTGGAGGCAGTATCAAGCCACACAGTGACAGACTGCTGCTTTCTCTACAAGCAGAATAATGACATCAGAATAATTTGATGCTATATACTGAGCTGTATAGTCTCCATCATGCAGAGTCACTCTTCACCTGCTGTATAAAGTGAAGCCGGCCATGGTTGACATCATACTGGGTGAAAGAGGTCACCGGCTCTGGTCTTTCCCCCAGTGTCAGGTAGCCGTTGTTGGGCTTACTGATCACGAGGTAGTGCAGCTCCTCTGGAGGGGTGTCATGATCCTCAACCTGGACATGTAGATTGTCAAAGATTATATTTTATAAGACTGTTTGAAAAGAAAATGTCACCAAAAGTTAAACACTGATACTCAAATATTGTTGTTAGTTTAATAAATCTCAGAAGGTAAAACAGTGTGTTCATACAAAAATCTTTTTTATGAGTTCAACAAATAGTGTAAAAATGCCTGCTGACATTTACACCCATTCACTTTTCACTGGCTCACCTGCAGATAGTCTGGACCAAACACAACTCTCTCTCCGACTACCACCTTCATACTCGGGGCTCTGCTCCTGATGAGTGGCGGCTGGTCATTGACTGGTGTCACTGTGATGTTGAACATCTCCGTCACTGCCAGGCTGTCTTTGACTCTGTGATGAGACACTGTGTCTAATGACGAAAAGGAGGATGATGAAGCTGAATAGAGACGGGAAAAGGAGGAGGAGGAAGAGGAGGAATCCGAGGACAAAGCAGAAGAGGAAGATGAGGGGGGGAGATCCAAAGGAGCCACCCAAGCCCGGAAAGTGAAGCTGTCGGTCGTCGTCTCAGAGTCGTCGTGGATGTACATAATGCCAAGTTTATTCAGGGTGATCTGTGAGAAATCTGGTTGATCTCTGGGGAAGGATAAATATTAGAAGACAATAGTTTAAAAAAAGTTTAAACAAAGTTTGTTTAAATAAATTATCCAGAAAGTTAATTTCCAAAAGGATCATTCTGGATATTTTTTACTTTACTCTAATTATATGTATATATACTTATTGGTAGAAATGTTGTCTAAATATTTCTGTCTGCAATGCCTCTTTTATATGTTTAAAAATACAATATAGGGGAGACCGGATATGGTTGTAACATGGGGAGAGCTGTAACACCACCAATTCCACCAAACTGTGATAATACAGGAATCATATGGTTATTTCAGTGTTTACCCACTTCCTGATCCCACATGGTGGTTGTCATGGCTGGAAACAGGCACATGCAGATTCTACAGAGAAGAAACTGATTTTAAAGTAAGAAAGTAATTGTTTTGACCAAGACTATATTTTGTTTAGTACTTATACTATTGCAGGTAAATTCATATGACTTGTATTAGATTAGACTACCACGGTACTGGGGTAAGGTTGTAACAAAGGAACACCATATAGTTGACATCAACTCATGAGGTCCGTGATATTTTTGCAGAAGTTTGAATTGGTGCCATTTGTAGTAAACACATATGGATACTTTTGCTTGTACTTTGATGAGAACTCTACCTCAAAAATTCAGTGAGTTCCAGGTGCTGAAGCAAAAAGTGTTACAACCATACCCAGTCTCCCCTATATTATTTTGGGCGATAAATAAAAATGGATAGAGGCAGGTGCGTCATTCTGTGGAGAAAAGACAAATTTCAATGTTTTGTGGTTTCCTGGCCATATATAGAGACACCAAGAAATGAGCCCAGCACCTGGTGAGGTTATGTCCTCGGATAGACAGAGCCCCGTGACGTGGCAGAGAAATCACACGGTATAGGATGTGATGGTCTTTCCGTCGGGGCTCTGGAACTTTCCCCAGGAGATTGGAGGCATCGAGTTTAGACCTGTCAATCGTGACCCTGCCTCCCTCTGCCACCACAGCACCTGAATGATAGAGGCAAACAGTGTGCTTGTATATTCTTCCTCATGAAAGAGAAGAGTAGATTCAGTGTGAATAAGATGGCTTTATCTTCCCAGAATGCATTCTACTTTAGCTGGAGATTCTGAAAATGGCAAAATATGCTGCTGTTTTCACAAGTTAAAACAATTCTGTAAATGCAAGAGATCTGAAACCTAAGGGAACCCTGACTGTTTTTTCCACCTGTACAAAGATTATCCTGGGAAAACCTTTTTTCACCTGTTCGTAAGTTATAAACACAAGGAAGAAAACTGTTTAGATCTGATTTTAACAGTACAGTACCTGCGTTGTTTAGTAGTCTGGTCTTGTGTTGAGGGTGGTCATGATGTTCGTTGGCCTGGTAGGAGATTAAGAAGGTGAAGGTGTGTGGAGGAAGGAAAGCGGGAGGAGAGGACACAGTGAAAGAGAAATAGTCTGCAGCCGACCATCCCACTGACTCCGGCTTGTTCTGATGGTAAAGGATGACTCCATCATTCACCTGAGAGACAATGACATGAAGAAATCTGTAAATAACAGGTTGCCTTTGGTGCAGAGACAGACAAACTACCATCTCATTTTGCATTCTGTGCATATGCATGCAGTATATAAACCTCCTACCATGCTTTGTGTGAATGTAGAAATGTTTTGTGTAGAGTTGTCAGGCATACGTCTGACCAGACGGCCAAGTTTAGGAGGAGCAGTCACTGTAAACACCACAGAGTGGTTTCTTCTGATATCGCTGACGTCATTGGTTACCACCTGAAGCTCCTGCTCAGAGATTGGTGTCACCGAGCCTTTAAAGGTAACAAAGACACAATGAGAGGAGGCAGTGAATATCCCTGATTGACTGTGGTATCTGTGGACATCTCCCTGCTTGCAAACTGCCACAAAAGGACAGACTAAGACGTGAAATTAATGAATGCATAGGCAAGTGAGTGGCTTTTTGGGGAATTTTTAGAAGCATTTTAAAACATATCATCCTCCAGGAATGATTTACCCAACAAATACTTCACCCTCCTTTGAGCTGTATGTGGTATCAGCTTGGGACAATCAGGGTAATTAGTTTAAACTGGTGTGCAGACATGACTGCAAACAATACAAATTGCATTAATCTTAAAGGGGCATGGTTTTCTGCCTGTGGCATGTGGTGGCAATTGTCGCTTGGCAAACACTTCAGCCATTATTGTGTTTACAATACAAGAGGTTATAATACGCCCTCTGAGCAGCATTACTTCTTCATGGCAGACTGGACGCTACAGTGACTTGTTATCAGGGAGTGACAAGGCAGGCCGGCCGGGGCTGGCTGGTTAGCATGCTAACTTCAGTAGAAGAAAAGAAATGATAGAAATAGAAAGGTTTCCTCTTCAGTTTTCATTTGATAAATAACCAAGTGGAGTAAGGTGAAGCAACAAAGAATACCCTTAGTCCCCTAAATAATCTCATGATCCTGGAGGACCTCCAGGGATTTGAGCCAGGATGTTTTATTGTAGCTGAGTGAGCTGTTGTACCTGGATACACCTCCATTGGATGGTTTTTGTGCATGGTGAGGACCAGAGAGTGGGCTGTCGTGCTGAAGATTTGACGAGGGGCGAAGTTAACACCATCGTTCACCTGGAAGTGAAAGCCACCCGACGATGCACCTACACAAGAAGAGAGCCCGCAAAGTTCATTCTTTCTTCCAACCATTCTTTTGTTTATTCCAGACTCATCTTTTACCCAACAGGCCCCATAAAAATGACACATTTCAGTACAAAATACGCTCTACCTTCATCTAAAAACTAACTTTAATCTGCCCAGCTTCTGCTCAGCTCACCACTGTGCACAAACACCAGCTGTCCACTTTGTATGTAATTCTGGGTGAAGTTCAGGATGTGTCTGGAGGGGGCGCTCTTCAGGGCCAGGTGGCCGTTGCTGGGTGGTGTGACAACAAACTCCAGCCCCTCAGACGGTGTGTCAGAGTCCTCTGCACTGAGATCATTTGTACTGATTTCTGTCACCGAACCCACCCACACCTGAGGAAACAAGAGGAAAGATGGAAAGAAAGGACAGGAAGGCTATTAAACTTAGCTATTAAAAGATTAGTTGGACATTTTCAGCAACATGCTTATTTGCTTTTTTGCAGAGAGTTAGTTAAGAACATTGATACCACTCTCATGTCTGTACACTAAATATGAAGCCACAACATAGAGCTAGAGCCAGGAAAAAAAAAAAAAAAATTTGATAAGAAAGAGAATTGTGAACACGTGGTATTGTTAATTATCAGCAAGAATATAAAATGATACCCATAAATTTGCTAACTAATAATATAGACAGTACAGTATATCATGTCTGTTTCAGCATAATTGCCTGTTTCCCTGAGAAATCCTTTGAAATAAAACAAGACCCTCTTAGTGATTTTGTGATTTCAGAAGTCCGTTCACTTCCCACCTTCAGACCCCGGTTGGTTGTAACGACAGGAGTCTCATCATTGACGGGTGTGACACTGATGTGAACGGTGCAGGGCAGGCTGTGCTTCCTGATTTCTGTCTGATTGGCCACAATGGTGAAGTTATCTCTCTGTGTGTCGCTGCCATCGTGGATATAGGAGATGTACTCACGTTCCACCTGGAAAAAAAGTGTGTGGAGATTCACGTATAAAGATTGATTCTAACATGGCACTATGTATCATCTTTCAGAGATGTGTCTGATTCAATTTAAAAAAAAAAAAGACACTGTGTGTGATTTCTAAATAATTGTGAGGCTAAAAGTTCCTTCTCTTGAGATACACTTTTGGAAAAACGTTTAAGTTTTTTTAACATATAAAATACATATTGTGTGCTCAGTCAAACCTCAGTATGTGTGAAAGCAGTGATGGGCATCCCCGGTATCCGGCTGTGCTCCAAGTGTCCGTGTCGTGGTGGATCGATGACTTGATACAGGAAGTTCATGTCTGAGAAGTGATGATTGGCGACCTTGATTATGTCACAAGTCAACGGCAGGGATGACCCCTCATCCAGGGTCAAGTCAGACACCTGCAGAAACAACCAACAGAAGAAAGTTCTTACTGACTGTTTTTTTTGGTGGGTCACTTGGATCTCCTGGTATGTCGACTGACAAATCAGTGAATTTCTTTCCATTTTCATGCAACTGTTGCCTTTTATCTAAGTTCATCCAACATGTAGATATAGATGCTGTACCTGTAGAGGGAGCAGGATAGGAATGATATCGATCTCCAGCCTGATAGGTCCGACCTTTGTGACCCCGTTGGTTGCCTCCAACAGAACAGAGTCGTTGGTGCTTCCTGTGGACTGCTGATGGTAGACGATCGATCCCTGGTTCAGGTCGTCCTGGGTGAAGGAGGTTGTCTGCTGCTCTCTGATGCCCTGCAGGAAGGAACAGAGAGGACAGACCCATCACATGCTTTTTCTGTGCGACTCTTTTGACACTTAAATGCTGAAGTGTACAACTTGTGGCCACGAGGACATTCTAGTTAAACTAAACGTTTATCACTTTTTTTTTTAAAACATAAAGCTCCAAAAAAAAAATTTTATTTTACAGTCAAATAACGAATATGAAAAGGGGTCACTTGCAGTGACAAACACCTCAGTTATCTCCCATCTCTGCATTCCTCTTTTTGGTTTTGGAACAGACAGTCCCTTGTTTTCTGCATCAGGACAACAAAAGCGCTCCAATGAATCCACACTTAGCTGTAAAGTTGGCTGTACCTGATAGAGGTGCTGCTGTTCTCCATTGTTGTTCAGGTGCTTGTTGATATGGGAGAACCTCTGAAGAAAACCCAGGGTGGGAGGACTTTGGACAGTAAAAATGATCTCTGAGGGCAGGCTGTCCTCGTGGACCACCTGGTGAAAAGAAAACTTAAGAACATATTTGCAAATACAATGGAAATATGCCAGGTTCATTATTACAGGCCTCATTATTAAACAACAGGAAGATGATACAGTATGTACTGTAGAAGATGTGAAGGACAAACCGTACATGCGGAACTATAACAACAGGAATAAACTATAAACCAACAGTGGGTGACCTGTATGGAACAATATACATATCAAATGGACACTATCGATAAAATCTGTTCTGTCTGTTTGGATCTGGAAAATCTACATTAAAGGAAGTCAAAGTGGAGCTGTCATTTTCAGCTCAAGTATTTAAAAATCATTCAAGGAGACTCAGTTTATGACTTGTTGTGTTAACTTGAAAAATGTTACGTACACAAAAAGCCCACATAGGCTAGACCCTGATATACTGTCCAGTCCTAGATGTGAACGACTTATATGCAACAACTAGAGTCTAGAAAGTGAGTTTTGAAAGCCTGTATATCTCAATCTGTTAAAGTAATTAGTGGGTGAATCTTTTACTGTGTTATGATTATTGACTTGCCTCTAAATGTTCTCTGCTTATGGAGACATTCTGTCCTTCTGCCACCACCACTGGACGGTTGCTTATGACCGTTGGTGGCCTCTGATGGCTCTCCAGGAATATTTTTACCGGCACTCCGATGTCCAGATGCACCTCCCTCCTCCCTCTGTCCGGTTGCCTCTCTGTGCTTTTCTCCCTTGCTCTTGCCGTCACATTAAACCAATCTGACAATTCATGGCTGCCATCGTGAAGATATGCCAGGCGCCCTGCCACCAGGTCCCGCTGGGTGAATATTGAAATTGCATCTGCTTCTTTTACAGCATCTTGATCTCCATCATTAAAGCAGAGCACACCGTGTTTAGGTGGAAGGAAGACCTCGAATGTCACTTCCTGTGGGTCTCGTATGTCAAGGTTGCTGAAGACACTGAGGTTAGCGGAGGTCAGGGTGGTGATTCCACCTCGCTGGACCATGAGGCCTGTGTTGTTCTCCACCTGCAAGTAAGGATCCTGGGCCATCACCTGTAACAGCCAGTTACACAACAGAGACAGAAAATAATAATAACAGCAGTCAGTGAATACATAACATCATAGGCTTACTTCTTTTGACACTCATATGCCTTTTGATATTTAATTACTAGCTTAACCATCACATGCACAATTTAAACTGCTGGTGAATAACATGAAAATATAAATTTGGCACAATCACAACTTGAAGACTTAATGTTCATTGTAGTACAACAGTTGAAAATTAGCCACTTGGCTAACACCGGAAATGTTTACAGTGATGCTGACTGTTTCACCAGAAAAGTATAAATAAATGAATAAATCCATAAAATGCATTAAATGTGAAGACATTATAATCACCTCAAGCAGTGTGGAAACATAATGTTTGCCATCTGATACGAAAAGCACAAAACGTCCGAAACTCACTCCTCTGTGGACAAACAATACTTTTTTCTGAGAGAAGAGAGGAGAAGAGAAGAGGAGATGATGAAAGGAAAGGAGAAAAGAATCAGCATGGTTAAAATGAATAAATACATTTAACTAAAATCTTAGTCCAGCAGAGTATCCATCATGGAAAATTTAAAATGCAGAAATTAAAACAAATCAAATGAAGAAATACATTTAAATGCAATACACATTGATATTTGTATTTCCTTTTTATGTCATAATTAAATGAAAAACATACTGTATTACAAGGACAATAACTTTGTTTTCTGTGTTGTGATTTGATTTAATGTGGCATGGAAAACTCATGTTATAATGAAAAATAATGTATTCCATTATTAAAGACAAAAAGCTAAATAACTGTCCTTTTAACAAATGTTTTTCATTGAATTAAGTAACAGTAAATGCATACAGATGCATTGTTTTTGCACACTTATTAAGAGACACAAGGGGGTCATTGATGTCATGACACTGGATCTGAATAGTAAAACAGCAAATATATACTGTATATCTTTAATTTAGTGATTCTAAATATTCTAGCACCTGGATGATGGAGAATCTCAGATAAATCGTGCTCACCTGCTCAAGGTCCCGCTGTGTGAACTCGTACAGCTTGTGACCGGGGTCACTGGCCAGGACCAGCTCTCCCATGGGAATCCCCCTCCGTGTGTACACCAACCAGTTGTCCTCAAAGTCAGAATCATCGTCCCGGTAGCGAAGGTCGTTCAACGTCACCAACCTCTGGCCATCACGGGCCACATGGAAAACTTTGTCAACGACCCTGACAGGTCTCTGATCATTGACAAGCTGCACGGAGATATTAAAGGTGTGTTCGGCTGTGTTTCTATCCTCCTTCTTGCTGGTGTGTTTATGCGGTTTATAAACCACGATTTGAAACGTAAAAGAATCCTGTTTGGTCTCGCTGTCATCATGAACATACATAATCCTCTCCTCCATGATATCCTGATTTGTGAAGCTTACAATGTTGTCATTAATGGACGTTGAGTTGGAGAGATTGATCTTTCTGATCTGCCCATGCTTGGGGCTCACCGTGATGCTGTACTGGACCTCTCGGTTACTTGCTGTCTGAGTGAACAAGATGTCTTTGGTAATGACTTTACTCCCTCCTTCCAGTATCGAAAGGCCTTTGTTTACAATGGTGAAGGCTGTTGACTCAGTTTTTATGTTGATTCTGAAGTCGTAACTTGTCGAGTTGGCGTGTGTTGAAAATACCTGAAAGCTTAATGTGTCTCTTGTGTCATCGAGTAGCCTGTTGAGCAGCTCGTACTTCAGCAAACCATTTGTAATATTCTTCTGGCTGAAGGTTGAGTTCTTTTGTAGAACTTTGTCGTCGAGGAACAGCTGACCTTTCTTTGGTACTGTACGGAGCCTGAAAAAGAGGTTGCTCTCATTGAGTTTGACACCCTTTGAAACTACATGGAGGTCCTCAGGAGTGACAACAGCCGACTGAACACCACTGACCTCCATCTTGCTTCGTGTGACCTTGAAGTGGATCCAGCGAACCACAATAGGGAAAATAACCTCCTCGGTAGCAAGTGAATTGATGCTGATTTTACATTTGAACTGATCAGTGACATTGTTCTGAGTCTGAAGGCCATGGTAAGTGCTGAGGTATCGGATCCGTTCTTTTTCTAAAAGTTTCTGAGAGAACGAGGTTGTAAGTTTCCAGTCGCCACTTGAGTGCAGCCGCTGGAGCTCACCATATCGTGGTGGCTCTGTTATGTCGTATCGGATTTCTGCTGCCTGATCAGCCACATTTACTTGTACTGCGAGATGGTTGGTGGTGATGATGGAAGCCTCGCCTTGGTTCACCTCCAGTCCGGTTTTATTCACCAGTTTGTGTTCGAGTGCCACCGCCATGATCCGCAAAACTACTGTGTTGCTTAACTGTAGAAAGAATAGGGAAGAAGGAAACACCAGAGGTGAGGTGAGGAAGATGAATGAAGAAGAACAAAGAGATGAGAGTAAACAGCAGATAAGGTTAGAAAAGTGTGAGAAAGGGAAACAAGAGATGATGTGAGACAATAAAGGAGAGGAGACCAAGCAAGTGAAGAAAGATGAAAGAAAAGGACACGAGAAGAGGAAGCAAAGGATGAGACAAGGCAACATTATAAGCGGAGAGGTAATAGGATAAAGAGACTCATTGAAAAAGCAAGCCATATATTTCCATTAATCAAGGTCTTGACACTGATAGTTCACTGCTATAACTGGCATAATGGCAACAGATACCTGCAAGTCTCCATAGGTTTATTCCACTTTGGGAAAGATAACATTACGTACCTTCTGCCCGTCGCTGACCCTGAGTGGCAGCCTCGAGGTGGAAACCCCAGTGTGGACAAAGTTGATCTTACCATCCTCCAGATCATGTAGGGAGAACAAGTTAATGGCCCTGGAAGATATATAAAACCCTGTTAACTTCCATGTTCTGTTCTGTTTTAATAGCTGCTGCGTCAACAAGTCTTTGTTCTGTCAAAACCTTTTTCAGGCATCTTTTGTTTTCTGTCTCTGTTCTTACATATACACACACAGCCACTTCCCTAATAGACTTCAATGACTGCTTTTAAGAAGACTTTTGAGGCACTGTAAAGCCTCACAAGCCATAGCAACAACCTGCCGGGGTAATCCTGGTGCTCAAGGTGTCCAGCCTCAGTGTTGAGGTTTCCAAGGGAGCTGAACACCAGCTCTACAGGACTGCTGTCCGGGTCTGACACTCTCAGCACATCTGTTGTTAGCTGGGGACATTGTGGGTGTATTAGTATTTTCATTTTATTATGCTTAATTAACACAAATATTCATACCAACCATCATTCCACTGTGCCTACCTGTCGTTTTGACTTCTTGAGCAGGGTAAAAAGGTTTCCCTCTGGGAGGCTGAGCACAGGGGCATCATTAACAGGACTGATGCTAATATCAAACCGGTGAAGACGGTTGCTCCTCAGAAACACAGGAAGCTCCTTTTTATTGTTGGAGAAGGCTGAAAACATGAAAAAGTCACTCTGGTCCTCTGACCCACTGTGAACGTACATCACCCGGCCCTGCCATAGGTCAAGCATACTGAAAGTCCGGTCCTTCTCCTCGGTTCCTAATGTGATAGTTCTTTCTTGCCCCTCATCGAGCATCCCATCAGGATCTGGTCTGAGGTCCAGCCGGAGCTGGCCGTGAACAGGCTGCTCCTCAATGCGGAACATCAACTGGGAAGGATGGATGCCCAATTTCCGAAAATCCAGATTCACCTGGAAGGGAGTACAAATAGGAACAGATTAATACTACATCGCTCCATATTATTTTTACTGTTATAAAAGAAACCTGTCAAATGACTCAAAGTAAAAACTAGAAGACCAGGTCAGCAGGAGACAATAAGTCCTACCTTCATGTGTTTGGGCTCCAGTGGTGCTCGGCCTCCTTCTGCTACCTCTAGCGTTCTCAGCAGTAAAAAGTTAGGGTTCTTCTTACTGTTGCTAATTGGTTGTGAGGTTGTAAAATCTAACTCAGGACGGTCTGTTGGGCTGATGGTGGTCGCTGTCACAAGGGCTTGCCCCGTCTTACAACCTACAGTGATGTCCTTGGTGATGGCAGCATGAGGGAGACCCGTTCTTTGAGTGTTCACCCTAATTTCTCGGAGGCAGCCTTTAAAGGAGCCTCCTCCTCCAGACGAGGCAGAGAACAACCCAGCTCGCCGTGCCTCTCCCAGAGCTTCTTCGTTCAGCCCTCCCAGGAGGAGAGGCCCTTTGAGCTGGATGACTTGGAGCTCCAGACTCAGGTCAGCCTTGATTAACTCCTTGTCTACCTTCAGGTGGATGCTGTGGGGTAGCAGGTGCAGCTGGATGGGGTACCAGGTGTGGTTGCTGTGAACATGTGTTAGAGAACGCAGCTCAGTTTTACTCCCCTCTCCATTTCCTATTGTTGCCACCAGGTAACCATCTATGATCTCTATGGCTACAAACTCTCCCTGGTTGCCAGAGCTGTACAGGATAATGCCATCTTCTTCTCTTGCAGAGGGGTGAAGTTCACATTCAAACAGTCCCTCCTGTGGCACCTCCCATGGTGGGAGTGAGATGAAGGCTTTGGAGCTGAAAAAACTGACCGGATCTTCTTCTGTCGCAGAAAGCTGCGGACTACAGCCCAGTGACACCTCATGGATGCTCTTGTACCCAGAATATGGCCTTAGACTGGACAGCAGGTTATGTTCATTGAACACAAGTTCATCCACACAGCCTCTAAACCCCGTGGAGGTGTTGAGAAGGTATGGATGATCCAGACCAGCTGCTCCGCCAACAAAGAGTCCATCCTCCACACTGAGCTCCAGATCTGGTCCTGGCATACGGAGGCTAGTGTGAGAATTTCGATCCACGGTCATGGTGACATTATGGCGGTCGTGGGTCAGCTCCATAGAGTGCCACCCCAGGTCACTAAGTTGGATGCCCTTTTCTGAGCGTAGTGAACGCTCACCTGAACCCAGGTCTAGGCGTGCCTAAGGGATGAAGGAGGAGGCAAGGAGGGAAGGGGTGAGGAAAGGAGGGATAATAGGTGACAACCAAGAGGTATGAAATTAAACTCTCTTATTTCTGTTTCTATGCTCAGACCATAATTTGAGGGACAAAAAGTGACAATAAAAGCAAAAACTGTTAAACGTAGACATGGTGACTACATCTTGAGTGTATAAATTTTAAAACAAAATCAAGGGAGCTATTAGCTGTAGATTAAATAATTATTCCACAAAGAAATATATCACGAGTAGCTCCCTTGCCTTGTACTTAGAGCTTTCATTAAACTATTGTGGTCTTCTCTCTTAACCTGGTCATGAAGGAACTTGTCCTGAAATGCAGCCTGTGCCAAAGGGTTTTTTTTTTTCTCTCTGCAAGCAATCCGACACCAAGCTGTGTGTGTTCAGTCTTCTCTCGGGCTCTCCTCGTGATAGTAAATGCCAACATATGAGTTAAAATGGCCAGGGGACAAATATTTCCTCTTGTTTTGAAAGTGTGAGGTATTTTTATGTGAGCGTCTCTAGACAGCCATTATCGTAAAATCCAAATAGTGTTGCCTTGCCAAAGCATAAACTGATTTCCTCTCATAATATCTTTATCCTTTAAAATTAACATTCAGCACATTTGTCTTGCTTTCATCCATGACTAGATTCATGGCAAAACTTTCCTACTATACCCTAATATGTGCTATTACCTACCTGCAGACGCCCAGAGATCAGCTCCAGCAGCAAGTAGTCTCTAGGTCCTGCTGCCAAAAACAGCAGCCCTGCCTGACTGGAGGTTCGAAATCGGACATGGAGCAAGGTCTGAACGGATGCCTCCACTGTCCGCAGGTGGATGTAGCCATCACCGTAGAAGGACACTGTGACAATGAAAAAGAAGCCAGATGAGAAGTTGAGGTCAAAGTTGTGGCCAGATCAAGTATGCTTATTCATCAATCCAAAACCGTTTCATTCATGTCCTGAAATACAGTGGGTAGTTACAATATCGCCAGTGCAATCCAGTCCAATGGTCCAAGTTAATTTACTGAAGCTTCCAATTTTAAATTAAGTCCAACTCATTAAAGTGAGAATGCTAAATGCTGGTTCAAGTCCTGGTTCACTCTAATGAAGGCATAGGATGCGTAATAATTCAGGCTATAGTTTGTGTTGTGTGAAGTTCAATCTGGACTGTCTGTCTCGCAGCCTCGTCAGTAAACATTAACTTTGTTTCAAACATGTTTTCATTTTCTTCTTTTGCTTCTCATCTTTCTTACAGTTTATTATGAGGCTAAAAGACATGCTGCAAATGTGTCCCATGCTGACATATTCTATTACTTTTTAACATTTACATTCTAAGCTATATCCGATTCAAACATATCAACCGATATTGAAACTAACATTTGGTAAATGCCAAAGGAAAGACTATTTGATTAATCTGTATTGACTGTTTTGTCAATCTGGTGTCTACTCTGCACTTTACACTATCTGAATTCAATTAATGACAACTAATGCATCCTGGAGCGGGTCATCCTGAAATGTTCTGATGCTAAATAGACTTCACTGCTGACCCAGATGACGCAGACTGAACTAGTTGTACAAACATTTGTCAATGGCAGAGCTGCTTCACAAATAAGCGTCCGGCGTCGTGGTCCAAATGTAAATTAAAAGATATTTCATTCATGACACGGCATTCATGATGTTGTACCTTCATGTCAGATATGAAATGAAATGTCTAGTTTGAATTTAAGGCTATCTAGCTAATGGTAAAACAAGACTAACAGTCTACAGCCATGCTATAAGCCCTGTAAGGCTGTACTCATTCCCACATTTATGTTTAATGATAAGTCAATATGTAATTACAATGTATTGTATTGTATTTAGTAGTGAGGCCAGTGTACCACACACATCTGTAAATGAAAAAAAGTAAAGCAGTCTATTTTGATTGATTTGACCTACAAAACAGCAGTACTGGAGCATTTTGTCAAAATGACTGTCCATTCATTGAAACCGTAATTCAATTCAATGAATAAAGGTCAGGGGAACGTGTGTGTGTGTGTGTGTGTGTGTGTGTGGATGGGTGACAACTCTCCAAAAACAATCAGTACAGCAGTGCAGTGGGACTGAAAAGAAGTACTTAAAAAAAAAGTAAATACAAAAACAGTTTTAGACTCTTACCAGCTTTCTTTTCTTTCTTTTTTGTATCTGTGAAACATGGTTCCTGATTGAGTAGAATGTGAATAACAGACATTTCATACAAATTGGTAGGAATTTGCTTTTAAGAAGAGACAGAAAACAATGGAAAAATAATCATCTTTTACATCTGTTCTTCTGCATTTCATTATTTTTTATTGTTTTTTGGGGGCTTTAATCTTCTGCCTACAAATTGTATTATTTTTCAAAATAGTTTTCATAGTTTATTATTTTACTGCCTTTAAATCCTTTTGAAACTGGAAATGCACCACCTGCAAAAAGTAAAGTTGATTATCAAGGAAATTATTAGGTGTTAAAAGACTGGTCCTAAAGAGAAGTACTCAGTCAGCAGACTGGCCCAGCATGCCGTTCTGCATAAAGCCTATAAGCCCGCTGTCAGTGTAACCCATGTCTGTCCATCTATCTCTAATCTGCCTCTATGATACCAGTGAACACTGGATTATTAGTAATCTTCCTACAGTCACAGACACACCTATGAATGCAGGTCTTTTATGCACTCTCATGAACAGGTGTAAGGATGATATAGAGACATGAGCGACTGCCTGAGGCAATGCTGCTAGCCAGCCAATAAACATTTTTTCCTGTACAACTAAAATCACAGTCTAGGAGCGTATCAGGCATCAGGTCAGTTAATCATGTCCCTTTGCAAAACATAAGTAGCTGCAAGCATGCAATCAAAATATAATCCAGTATCCAGCAGTGTCCTGCCATATGTCTACAGACAATATTAGACTGGATTAGGAATTTACTTCAGGACAACCACAACAGCTTGTGTGTGAATGTTAAGTGTTAACATTAATAGATTTACACTCACGACCAATAATAACTGTATTTTTTACACACTTCTATGGGGGGGAAACTATTTACAGTGTTACCAGTTATATTATAGTGATGCAACAAATCATTAAACAGTAACATTGTAACATATTAGTTTTCAGTTTTAAGTTTTACATCTGTCATTTAGGAGGAGTGATTTTCTCTCCTCTGCAGCACCTTACCTCCATAAACTTGTCGTGTGGAAATCAGCAGGAGCACAAACAGATCAGCCACAAAACTCCCCATTGTTAGTTAGGCCTTTATCATCTAACTTGCATTCAGTTAAGCGCAACATCTGGCTGCCTAACTACGCCATCCATTGTCTTTTCCACTACTGCCAACTTCCAAGTAGCTTCTGCTTGCTTTGCTGGCTTTGGATTACAGCCTTTAAAAAAAAATGTACCTGTGCTGGTGAGCTGAGAACGGTGAGGTGGAGCTCCACCCTCCGATCCTCCCCTCACCCCGTCCACACAGAGGAGCTGGCTGTTGCAGTGCTCAGTACCAAACATCAACACATGGGGGAGGTGTCACAACACGAACAGAGACAGAAGGGGAAAAAAAAAAAAAAAAAAGTGTTGAAGTGCTTTGTAGAAAGTGCAGCAGACTGTGTGTATTCTTGGATATCAGATCACCGTCTGTTGTAGATACAGCTGAGACTTATTCTGAATGGTAGTATATTCTGAATTGAATCCATCCTTAGTTTAGCTCATAACAACCTGACTGTCATGTGGTGAGGAAAAACTCAGAACAAGCTGCTGTCACACACAAACATTCAATTTTTTATGATGACTGTTTATTTCCTTGTAGCCAAGTGAGATTATGTGTCGCAAACTACTCAAGTAGGCCTACTCATTTTTTTTTTTTTTGGGCATCACTGAGAAGCTGGGTAAGCATGGCCTAATGTAGTTGTAAGTGGCTGAAAGAGTAACCATAACTCCATCTGTGGTCATCAGTAAGTGGGGGCTGCCATATTATCAGATAAAGAATAGCACTATAGTAAAACAGTTGTAATAATATAAGCTGTTAAGTTATAATTGATAAGTGTTGGGTGCAATTGATTTACATACTGCTCATAAATGCTAAATAATGGTGGTTGTAGTACAGTGTTACCTGAAACAGGAGTTTCATAGTTCAAAGGGCCAATGTGACATACTGGCTGCAACAGCACGACCCCCTGCAAACCAACCACTCTACAATTTACTGAGGCTATATTTTCTCATCAGGAGTTTTTGACAAACCACTCTTTACAAAAAGGGAAAAGGCTCAAAGCAAATTACATGAAAAGTCTCCTACATGGGCCATTACAGTAAAACTCTGGATCACTCTAATCAGTGCTTTTTTTAAATGAGTTGAGCACAGCTGCTTAGAGTGCAACTTAACACTAAAGCCACTTTATCCACTTTATTATGATTCTGACAGTCTTTAGTCTCCATTTATACAATATTGATTAAAACTGCGCTCTAGACCAGAATTATTTATTATTTGAAAACCTGACATAGTGCAGTGATAGTCCAGGTACATATAATGGGTGTAAATCTATATTGTTTTCTGCCCGTTCACCTCCTATCTGTGAAATTTGCTGCCTGTCACTGTGTTTTTATGTGCACTAGCATGGAGCTGATGTATAAACACAGGGGAGACAATCAGGGAAATGAGGAACAGGTGTGTAGGTAGGCGGTGATGTTCCAGTGATTGGGAATAGGAAACAGGTGAGCAGGTGGCTCTGGGAGCAGGAGGAAGGTCCGAGGACATCTGGTGGCAGGGTGCAGTATGACAGGAGACATACAACATGGGCTGAGACAGGAATCATGACAATACAGTACATTTACTGATTTAAAAATGTTCTCAAAAAAGTAGAAGCGCACAAAAAAGATACCTGGTTATAGTTACAACAACGTCTGTAGTTAGTTACTTTCTATGCAGTGAATTAAGTGAAATGAATAGCCTTGCAGAGATGGATAGAAAATGAAATACAGAGGAAGAAAACACTGATGTGAGGATTGAAAAGGAAAAGCGAGTGTGCAAAATTGCTAAAACAGAAGAGAGACAGAGGAAGTAAAAGGGAATGAAAGGTTAAAGGCGGGAAATAGCTGGTGGCTGATTGAAGTGAAGTGGAAGTTTGGGTGTGATTGTTCAAACTGCAGGACACACTCCCTAGTCTGTATCCTGAACCCCTCCCACCCTCTAACCTACCACCTCCACACACACACACACACACACACTAATGTGCTATTAAGTTGTAGCTTGAGAGAGAGTTAGGTCCATTAAAAAGAAAGAACACATGAAGGCTTTTATTCAGCTGCTGATTCAAGCTCGGCTTCTCAGCTTGGTTCGCACATGAGAGGAGTGCTGTGTTTAGGTTTAGTTCCCAGGAAGTTGAATAATAGACTCTGTCGCCTGGTTTCTTAAACGAAGGGGTCGCACCCAAAATGGGTCACAGTTCAGCTGGTGATGGGTCCTCTCATGACGAGAGTGGTGTTTTTAATGAGCCTGGATCCCACGCTGAGAGGATTACCGTCTTGTCTTTTACGCTGCTTTAAGTCTTTAAAGCTAAACTAGCAGACCAGGGCCAAAAACAATGTTTATATTGAGGTCTGATTTATACATTTTATATTAACTGATCCTTTCTCTGCGTCAGGACACTTTTGTAGGGGGCATTCTGATACTAATGAATGAAAAAATATTTTCTATCTTTACATATAAAAACAAACTAATCATATATAAAAGGTTATGCATAAAGTGCTATAGCTCACCAAGCCTACGCCTTTAATTAGCATGTGGTGCTATATGGTAAAAATCTGATGAAAACTATAGTGTTTTGCTCCAGTTCATAAACAGTTTTTGCCTTCCTTAAGTCTTTTTTTGGGGCATTTTTGCCTTGACATCGACACTAAAGTGGTGGCAGGAAATGAAGGCGTAAGCAAGAAAGTACAGTGGGGATTTGTCTTACTGTAAACTGTCCATCTCATTACTTGTATTACCTGCCCCGCTGGACTCAGTTAAAAGGCTGTGACTAATTGTGCCGCTGTGGAAAGAAAAATGTTATAATAACTGGTAGGATGGTTGCCAAAGCGCCAAAACCTCCCACCTGCAACCTCTTGGATAATAAAGAAGTCCCTCTGTATGAAAATTCACCTGATTAACTAGCAAGATAAAACAAAAACATGTTTGTGTGATTTTGATTTTCTCTCTCTTTAAAATAGAACTATGTTGAATCTCCTACTACTGAATATGGTAAAAACAGGTTGCATGGTGTACAAATATTTAACAGAAAGGAGTTCACACACCCTGTAAATGGTTGGTGGCTTTCTGAGAGCAGAGTCCAGGACTATTAAACTGTTATAATACAAAGTAGAGAACAGGAACCACCTGGATGAGGATAAGGCAGACGGCATAGACCAGGAAGAGTTGCAGGATTGGGACTGATTTAACTCCAGCAGCAGCTAAAACAACAAAAACACACAGCACAGCTGGATGGACGGGCCTCAAAGGTCCCTGGTTCTTACCCTGTCACCAACACACCGACGCTGTATGTTCAACTGAACATGTGGAGAAAAGAAAACAGAAAGCCAAACCCGCTCCCCTCTTGGAAAAATAATGGATGACAATCTCTCTTCGCTTCCCATTCCCATCCTTCCCCGTGTTGGCGTGTTGGTTCATGCTTGTACACTCCTGTTTGATAAAGATCTATTGATTTTGATTTTTGAGTTGCTAAATAAACTATAAAAAAGAACAAAAGGCCCACCACATCATCCACCTGTGCAGCAGAGATGAATCGGTCAACATGTTTTAATACAGAAGTAAAAAAATAAATTAAAAAAAAGTTAATGGAAGAAAGCTTAAAATCCTGTGTGGGCTCCACTGTAAACCTTGGCCTGAGCCTTTAGTCCATTTCCAGTATAAATACAGTAATTAAGTGACACATCCATTTTCTATTTATGAGCTGGTTGCATAAGAACACAGGCAGAGAGAGAAAGAGGCTGTAGTGAGAGGCCAGAGTCTGAGACAGAGAGAAGAAGAGATGCAGGAGGAGTATAGAAAGAGGCTGTCAGAGAGATTTAGAGGGTCAAGATCCACAGATAGACATTCAGTTAGAAAGGACATTAATTAACAAGCTGCAGATTTTCTTTGCTCTGGGCATTTTTAGCATTTAGCTTAAATATCACGGCATTTTTAACGAAACTCAACAAAGAGCAGCTCAGGACATTTGATCTTGTCTGGTGGGTGAGTACTTGTTTGTGTGTGTGTGTGTGTGTGTGTGTGTGTGTGTGTGTGTGTGTGTGTGTGTGTGTGTTTGTGTGTGTGTGTGTGTGTGTGTGTGTGTGTGTGTGTGTGTGAGGGAAGGAAGCCAGGGAAGGAGCTTGATCAACTATCATTCATTAGGTATAGTCTTTCCATGCATGGCAACTACAAGTCACATTAAGACGTAACACACACCATACCATTCACAGTCAGCACACTTTGTTCTGTGTGTGTGTGTATGTGTGTGTGTTTGGTGTGTGGGTATGAGTATCCCATCTCTAGAGGCACCTCTTCAAATGTTTAGGGGAACTTTTCAGATATTTGATATTTCTCTGTTAACACACGCAACGCGATTCTGGGAACAGCTGCTACCTTTGCTTGGGGACACCTTAGGGTCTTTGTTTGCGAGTGTGTGTGTGTGTGTGTGTGTGTGTGTGTGTGTGTGTGTGTGTGTGTGTGTGTGTGTGTGTGTGTGCGCTCACATAAGCAGGAAAGTGACTGAGTTGTGAGTCACTTTGAGTCACAGATACTTTATTTAGCTCACTTGTTGAAAGAGAAGACATAATAAAAGACAAGAAGAGAAAATGACTATCACAGACAGGATAAGAAAATATAACATAAGATAAGTAGATTTTCAAATTAAATTATTTGCCAAAGAATAAAAATAGTATTTGCAGCTACAATAGCCATAAAATAGCACCATAGCTACAGTATATTTAACTTACCCCTGATCCTCTCCCATTCAGTCTTGTTTCTGATCTAATCCTGTCAGTTTTCAAATGTTGCAGGTTCTTACACACTCTGAAAAACAAGACAATGAAAATGAAAAAATACAGAAAAACATACTATCAACAGAAATACAAATGAACAAGACTAAAAGTCTACAGCCATGCTAGCAGTTCTGTGAGGCTAAAGTGAATGTTAGCATGCTAACATGCGTACAGTAACTTTGTCAACATGCTGGTGTTTCTGTTGCAGGAAGAATGGGATGTACGTTTGGGAGG